GTGTGTGTAAATACGACTACACGATATTGATTATGTAAATGAAGACTTAATTTGCATAATTAATCTTGGGGTATTTGGGTATTTAAAAGGTAAGTGAAGATTAACATCATGAAAAATAACAAGATAAACACGCATGCAAACTGGACCCTCTACGGACGGCCTCCCCCTGGCCAACTACATTTTTAGGCCGATTTCTACTACTTATTCAGCCTGCAAAGGAGTCTGTTGGAGACTATTCAATGAGGGGGCCTGTGGTAAAATTTCCTTGGGGACACATTGGCCATGGAGCCAACCTGCAGTGGACTGGCCCTGGCAGACGTCTGGCACCGAGGCTATGTGTGAACAAACATGTCTAAAACTGTCTGGCGGATACTCAAAATTTATATCTCATGGTACCCTGGGTGCCAGCCAAGTTTACAGGCCGCTAACCGTTTTTTCGGCAGCCAGGGTACTTCGCCCGCAGAGGAGTATATCGGCCTTCCTTCGTATAGGGCGGCCAAACTCCCCCCGGGGCTAGACTCCCCCGTAGCAGTAATTTACACCGGCGGGCGAAAGGCTCTTGCCGCCCGAAGAACGAGTTTGGCATCCAGGGTAATCTCATGGGTACCCTACGGTATACCCCTAAGCCACCACCTTTGGTTTGAAACCCTCCAGAACTCAAAACAGACACGACATCGCTGACTCGTAATGAAGTCAGCATGTTTCTGGATACAGATCCGTGGCGATGTGACCTCTTGCGTTGTATCACGTCCTTGTTCTTAGCCTGGTATCCAGTCTACCGTGGTTGGGGCAGGCTGTCTTCGGGGCTCTAATAGTTTTCGCCCGACCAGCTCAACAGACGGCCCGGCCCGGTAGGAGTGTTACGGCTGTGATAGAGTTTGGCACGCCAGGAGTTGATTAACTCCACAATCTCCCATCGTGAAGAACCTACCGGGGAACTTTGCTGAGGCGGGCGGGGAAGAGCTCCTGCAGCCCCGAAGACAGCCTGCCCCAACCACGATAGACTGGATACCAGGCTACCTTATTCTGTGTTTCCCTCCTGGAACAGAGATGTGTCTCGCCGCTATTTGTTTTTTAAGATTTACAATATTTGTTGAATGATTGCGAATTCGATATAACAGGTGACTATCACCTTTTGACCATGAGACAATACTGTCAGGTTTGAACCACTCACACCGGGAAGGACCCCTAGCGTTACTTTCAGCGATTAAATCAAAGGATGTGGATTTTTGTGGACCTCTGATCTCACTATTGACATTGTACAGCCACCCCCAGCCCCACTACCCTTAGCCTGGGTGCCAGACTGCTTCAGGGCCTAAACAGGCCAGCTCCTGGGATCCAGGGCCAACATGCCCCCTCAGTTAGACCCTGAGCTAACTAACTCTGTGTCTAGCGTGCTATGGGTCTGGCACCCAGGCTACGCTACCCTTGGAGAAGCCAAAAGCCAGACGAAAAGGTTTTGAGGGTCAGACGACATAAAACTTGGCACTTCGCTAAGTCGCGAAGTGAACCGCTAAGTCGCGAAGTGAACCCATACTAACCTACTGACCAACAAACCACCCAGACAAGACCTAGAACGACTTTTGCCCCTCATCTTTAGATTCTCGAGCTCGTCCGTCCATTCAAGCAAACGTGCCGGTATAGAGCCAGAGCAAAGCGATTCCAGACTAGTATAACTGGATTTTCAATGTCAATTTTCTGACCATTCTAATGTAGTATGTTGAATCCCATAGCATACTTATATCTTTGAGGCAAAAATGCGATGTTACTGAACGGAAAATGGTTGCTTGTTTCGTATCGTAGCCTTGTTCTAGCTATTTGTTGGTGGTACAAAAAGATGGACTTCTCACGTAGCCTACTTTATGGCTATCTCAAACGCTTCAAGTATGAAATGATGACGAACATGTGTTAAGCAATGACAAAAAATGTCAGTTATCAGAGAGATTTCCTAATCCAGAATATTTTTTCCGGAAAATTTATGTTTTGCCGCCCTGAAATTGCACTGAGAAAGGAAATGTTACGGTTGCTAACATATTGCCAAAACCCTCAGTGATAAGGAATAGTTGGAATAGTTTAACTTCACACTGCAAGACGTGTTTTGCCAAACAGAGCTTTACCAGAGATTCATTTAATGAACAGTTGAGATTCTGCCAACAGGAAAGGATATCGTCCGGGTAACACGTGTGTGCAGATGTTTCTGATATCTGCGATATGGCTCAACAGTTATGGTACATTGTTTTATCGTGTAAGGCCATGTTGATTTGATTATATGGATGACATCCGCGCGCGCATGAATTTTCGGCCGTTTCCAAAAAAAAAAAATTTCAACCATACTGTAAATCGTACAAAACAGTTGCAAAATGAGAAAAACTATACCATAAGTTACAAAAAAAATTAATAAAAATTATACCAATGTCGTAGAATGCCAAAATCAAACGAATTCGAAAAAAGACGAAATTGTAAAGAAATGAACTTGAAGACTAGATTATTCGCCAAACCATATTCCGTCCCATTTGCTCAACCCTCATGACCACGTAGATTTCATAATGAAAAGAACTTTTTTTGTTTTTGCAAAACTTTTTTATTCGCACGCGCGCACCAGTTTTGGGGCTCCCGGAGGATGTCATCCATATAATCAAATCAACATGGCCTAAGCCATGTTCCATATATGTTGTATCACCTTTACAAAATCGTAAAATGTTAGTCTCGATACAAAGAACTCATTATAAGCATTTCTATAGACGTTAGAGTAGATATCAGCTAGATGTGTAGTACCTCTGACTAGCTTGCCATACATTGTACCTGTTATTGTTGTGCAATAAAATTGACTTGACTTGAATAGTAAACTAGAAATGTAACATTTGCAAGGCAAATGCATAATGTTTACCTTCGCGCATATGATCTGCTCTGTTAATTCTAACTCAAACACATTCATGTATATTGTCAGAGAGGAGTCTATGTCCCTCCTGCTATAAAATTGCAACATGATGTAACCCAACGCTAGTTACCATGGAAACAGACTGTCTGGTTCAGGTCATTGGCTAGCCTCTACCGTGGGTCGCAAATTGGAGCTTCTATGGCCCTGGATCTTCTCTGGTATACTATCCCTTTATTTCGGCCAATTTCTACTATTTTTCCAGCGATCCGCGGTGCCTGGTAGAGGCTAGTCATTGGTCATTGGTGTTTGGAGAAGAGGAAACAGAGCGAAATCAATATGTTTTCCTTCGTAAAACATAGATAGGAAACAATAAATGGCAAGACGACTTACTCCAGAGCCGCTTGTTGTTGTTGTTGTCGTCGTCGTTGATGATGTTGACGTTGTGGACGTGCTGCTGCTCTCGAGTCTCTTCTTCATCTCCGCGGTGATGTTGAGGACCAGGTCCGGGTGGGTGATGTTCAGGATCTGCCAGATCCCGCTCACGTTCACCTGCAGCTGGTAGAACTCTGCTGCCGAGACGTAGTACCCAGCTAGCAGATACGGGGGGCATCCTTCGTGTTATAGCAACGTTCGGGCATAAAAGCATCTCAGGGGATGGACACTAGCCTCTACCAACTCCCCTGTCTATTTCTACTGCCAATTTCTACTCTTTTTTTCCAGTCGCCTCTGAGGCCTGGTAGAGGCTAGATGGACACACATGCTGGTTGGGTGGCGCGAGTGTGTGGAGACGATGTATGATTCAAATAATTGGTGACGTAAATTGGACAAATGCTAACAAGACTGGACACTGACTCTACTGCCAATGTCTACTCTTTCCAGTCGCTTCTGAGACCTGGTAGAGGCTATGGACACACGTGCTGGTTGGATGGCGCGTGTGTGCTATGTGAAGTGTATGAGTCGAATATTTGGTGACTTAAATTGGACTAATGCTAACAAGACTTGACTTAGACGCACTATTGTAATGCATCATTACCATTTTCTATCAAATATAATATCTAGTAGCTACACATGTTCATTAGCACCAATATTAGTCTAGCTGGTAACTCGCATGAGGTTTGAACGCTTATTACGACTTACCAGAAGAGGACGGGTACGAAGGATACGATGGATACGAGGGGTAAGGGTACGGGTAGGATGGGTAGGGGGAGGGGTAAGGGTAGGGGTAGGACGGGTAGGATGGGTAAGACGGGGCCGGTCGCTGCGGGCAGGGCGCTCGGCAGCTCTGCGGGCACATTTCCAGCATGTACCCGGAGTTCTCCACGCACTGGTTGTTCTTGGCCCACTCGCTGCACAGGTTGTGTTGGTCTCCACAAGCTGCAACAGATGGTGATGGTTGCGGTTGATAGTTGTACGATTTGTCGTAGCCATAGGAGGTGGGATAACTGGCGGATGGGTTCGAGGAATCAACTGGAACAAAGAGTGTTAGTGGGTTATCAACTGTCGTGGTTTTCACGTAAACGTCCATGCAGCAGGCAATGGTCAGTGCGTAGTAACAGTGTGGTACGTGCAGGGGTGTCCAACGTTGCACGGTAAGAATCTTACAGCCTGGTTACCAAACCTATTATAGCTCCCGAGTCCTACAGCTCTCCGCAATGAGAGGCTGTAGGACTCGGGAGCTATAATAGGTTTGGTAACCAGGCTAAGAATCTTACACAGTGACGTCTTTACGAGCTGAGAAGAAGTATAAGAACTTCTCCGTGTATATTTATAGCAAGAGGGGATGCTTCACGTGTCAGACATGTCAGGCATAATAAAAGCAAACACACAAATAAAAACAAGGATCACGGAAAAACAAAACATGCACTTGAGAGAGTTGGGTAGAAAGAACACGTGGACATGTTATACAAATTTTGTTTCCTGTGGTGAATACGAACTGCAAGCCAAACACACTTCTTCAAGCATTATTATGTACAGTATTTGGTGAAACGTGTTGTGAGAAGGGGTGAACATGCTTCAGTACACCACGTGGAGGTTGGATATGAGGGTGTTTTGTTATGAAGGCCCATCTAGCCAGTTATCCCCTTGCCATAGACGTAGACAAAGGGGAGTTTTGACGCCAGGTATCTGCTACTAGAAAATAGATATATCCCAAGAGTTAACGTTCTCCAAAAACGTTTATACCTTTTTATAGGCTACATATATAACTTCGCCGTTCAGACTACCTTAAAGGTGCATTGTGTAACATTCGGACGATATATATCAGATTTTCTGGTCATTTCTTTACAATGTAAGTTGAGTCAACCCCATCATTCAGGGAGTAGAGTGCCAAAGTATTACACAATACGACTGTTTGTTTACATTATGGTATTTTGCGGTGGTGCCACAAAATGAATACACCTCATTTGGGCTGTTTTATTGCCAACTATAAACGTAAGAAATAAGAAAGGTGGAAAAATTAAACAAAAATATGTTGAAAAGTGGAATTAAATTATTTTTTTCAATTAAAATAGTATGTTTATATTTTAGTTTTCCTACAGAATGTTACATAATGCTCCTTTAATTGTGAGTGCCTCTATACCAGTACGATGCCCGAGTAACGAACATCTGAGTGACACGAAGGTTCTACAAGCATATCTCCAACCTCTTCACACAGGCGGCAAAACTACGACTCAAGCAATGGCATGGCGGCAGGTCTGGCCATCAAAATTAGCCGTTTGGAAAGGACAGAACAGTCCAACATACATGTAGGGCATGTGATCACTGCATTCTACTTCTTCATGCTACAGGGACCAAACGACATAAGACAGCAACATCAGCAGTCTTGACAACGGACCACCAATTAATTTCTTAAATGCCCGAAGTGTGGACGACTGATCTCCAAGCAGATCTTTGGTGGCTGCAAAGATCTCACAGGAGAATTCCCCCACAAGACTACCTTGCGGCAACTTGTTGCCACCTTTCTGTTAACTCTTATCTTCTCTGTTTCAGTTCCAAAGCCACTGTTTTCTATTTAATGGTAATGCTAGATGAAGAAATGGTTCGTTGAAACGTCTTAGCCATTGCGAATTTGCGATGAGTGTTTTTTCTAATCCTAAAGGAATGTTCTTGCCCTTTGACATTTTACTTCCCATTGACTGAAACCAGGTCCGTAGATTATGAAGATAAACAACACCAAGTGAAGAATTCTACCCTTCGGGTGACGTTTAAATCTTTCGAAACGGAACACCTTATCAAATGCACAAATACAATGCATGTGCCCGAAATGCTGAAGTGGGGATTTGGTCTCTTATCTTTATCTTTGGCAGCTGTATCAAGGGCGTCTCACTAAAGCTGCCAATGACAGACGATGACAGTACTATTTTAAGAAACATCTAAATGAAGAACGGCTGGATCTCGTACGTCTTTTGTAACTAGAACTTCAACGGAAGACGGTTCAAGATGGTTTCACAAAGTAGACGTATTTAGGAGACAGAAACGGATGGAACCCCGGGACACAACACTTTTCTTATCAAGTTTCAAAAGGGATATAAGAAAAGTCTGATTTCTTACTAGGCACCTTTTTCGTTAGAACGGAAGGTGTGACATCATACAATTTTACAAGTAGCGGCAGGTGGTCTATAGGTTTTTAATGTCGTCTGGAGACTATTGAGGTTTGAACCTCCTTTCTGAGACGACATTTCGAATTCCGAACTGACAAAGTCCCCACTGGAACCAGTTATATGATAGGAAAGGGTCTTCCCTTCTGCGGTTATCTTTAAGACGATCCTAACCTTTTCACTCCAAAGGTGACAAGACTGTTGCATGCCGGGGGTGGAATGTGGGGGAGGGGGGCATCATCCCAGTCAGGTCTATTTCAAGGTCAACGACTTGAGGTGAAAGATTGTCAGACGATAAGAATGACCTGTTCTGTGTTCCTGCCTAAACCAGCGCAGTTTTTCTGTCACTTTTTGCAGAGAAAATACAAATTTCTCTTGAAGGTGACATTTTAAAACCAAACATTGCGTTATCGTTAAAACGAAGGTCAAAAACAAAAGCCATGTAACAGTTACCATCCTAGTTATTTTTTTACCTCGCTGTTGCGCTATTTGTAACAGCATACACAGGGAGCGAGCTAGCCTGGATGCCAAACCCATAACACACTAGGCCCATAGTTATTCTGGAAACTGTCTGGTACCCAGGCTAGAAAAGAGCATACAAAGCTAGTAGAATACTAAATACTGCTCGGGGGCAATGGCGTACTGCCAGTACTCCAGTAACCTTGTGTTGTTTCCTATTCTCTGACATATAATGTCCCGGTTTGGCAAGCTTACCAGGAAAGGGGGTGCCCTGTTAGAAGTCATTTCTGATTTGATTTGCGAGCCAAGTTTTTGGAACACCAGTGTCGTTTCCCCTAGGCAAATGGTCTATAAATGCACCCATCATAGTTTACGACAAACAGGGCAAAATCATAGCATAAAACAGCGATATGCAGAACTAACACACTGGCAAAGAAAAAAAAATCTCGGGTACGCACCCCCAAACGCCCTCCCCCGAGAGTTTCGGTATTTTATGACGGGCCAAGATCATGATCTTTGAGTCAATTTTTCTTGTTGTTCCAACAAAATACTGTCTGAAGCAGTTATGTGGATGTCTCTGATTTTTCCTTGGAATTCCCTCAAAAACACAGGAAATGCTATTTCAGAAGGTTGAATTTTCAACATTTTCGGGGAGGGGGTCCCTCAGATAGTAAGAGGAAACCCCCCATAGCAACATCCTGGCTACGGGCATGTTTCTTCTCCACGGTCAAAACAGGTTCTAAAACAGAACCAGGCTTTGGTCTTTGCAGTGCCCGATTGGAGTTAATAAGGTAGCCACACTGGGGACATAAACACTGGAATGCACAGGTGATTTTCATAAAGCGTACTCCGGTCGGGGCAGGCCTTGACTGAACTGCATCATGCAGAGATGACTTCCCATTCGCGCTCGACTTTGTCTGTCCGTTCCTGTCCGACCTAGTATCCCATTTCTGTCAGATACCCACTGGGAGGGAAGGCCAACGGTACAACTCATGCATCTTCACGTGCACTGCGCTGAAAAAACTCGGTTCTGCCTGTCTGCTAGCGCGTATTGGGAGGATAATCAGCAGCACATGTAGTTCTATAGGACCGCCTCAGCTGAACACAGAGAAAGATTGACACGTCAAAACAGTTGTGGAAAAATGTCTCACTAAAAGAGTCTTTTGAAAAGCGCAGGGGTACAAAAAATGACGAAGAAAAGAGTCAGTTCACGGGCATAACTCATCTACGGTTACAAGAAGCATGGCTAAACACGGATATCTAAAATCGTTTCTTCAAAAAACGGTAACTTTGCGGTGAAACCAACATTCCTGCACGCAAACGTCATTTAATACATATGTATAGGAAAACTCCAAGCCCTTTGTTTGTTACGATTTTTGTACCTTGTCACTTTCAAGTTCAAATATTCGGACATCAGATTTTGGTAGAGGCTACAAAGCAGTATGAAATTGGCAAGTCAGCATCATTGGCAGATACCATCAGTACAAAAAAGCCCGATAAAACGCATAAAAACACGCCAAAGCCTAAACCTTGGAGAGTAATGCTAATGACACCCTGTCACAAAACTATGCCATTCTTTACAATCCTATTAGTCGGCTTAACTATCCAAAATACAGGGCCATTGACCTAAATTGCACAGTCATGGTCAGTCATGCTTGATGGGACCGCGATCAAATTTTATGACGTCCGCGTGACCAGTCCCACTAGCCCCGCTAGCTCTAACTACCAGCCCGCCGTCAACGACTTAGCTCGAAGCGCTAGGACAGAGGAACCAAATAGTTGCAAAACAAAATTAACATAGCGCCGATAGTTCTGTAATTAATGTTGATAAATGGCTGTCACATGAAACGCATTGCGGATCAGAAACTCTTCTGAACCAATCTATGAAATGACGTTACAAAAATTACATTCAGAATAGTGTTAAACCGCACGTATGCAAATTATGCACGCATCTTGCAGAATAATGTTTCAAGAAATTCGTACACAAACAGTCCCAGTATTATTCTCTACACAAACAGTATATTTTCGCTGGCGACAAAAACAAACCTTGCGGCCGGGTTGCCCAAGAAGAAGGCAGGAAGACGTAAATCACTTCAAGCCGCCCTCCGCCATATTTCCTACCCATCTACAACAACCTGGAGATGAAAGCTGACACAATAAGAACAAAATGACGGCCGAACGCCAAGAAGCCGCGGCGATACCCTTTCAACTATCTCACTGGGAGTCAGGGCAAGAAAGAGGAAAGCGCGCCAAAATCCGTGAACTTGAGCCTCGAGGCTTCTGGCTACCCGCCCAAGGTTGACCATCTGATCTACTTCTAGTATAAAAGATCCATGCCCAATTTTATCCTCAAATTTTGCGACGTCGGAACTGGAGATGTGAGCATAGCAACAGACTTTTTCACCGTGCAGTCAGAGCACCCTGGTGATACAACCTACTGAACCATCGGCTACACTGATCATCAGAGATCAGACTGGGTGAATCCCCCCTGGGAAAGATAATGATTACCCGCAAAGTAAAGCTAAAAGACATTTTCTCCCGTCCTGATGAGTTGGCTGCCACGTCACAAGCCTTCTTTCCCCGCTAAAAAACAACATCACAGGCCTCTCTCTAACGAACAACACAAGTGCACTGAGGGGGTTTTGGTGGTGTCGGCGTGCAGGAGAAGAGTTTGAAATCTGAAAAGAAACATGGCACTCACATATCTCGTACGACTCAGTAATTTCGATGACCTTACCGCCGCCGCCGTAGTTAGTGTACTGACTGTAGTACTGTCCCTCTCCTCTTTGCAGCAAAGTCCAGCAAATGGACAGGAAGACTAAAACTCCGGCGGGCGCCATGCTTAGCTCGCCTGGTCTGGCTGCCCGGTGCCCGTTGAACTGGTAACCTGGGGAATAAGACGGCAAGATAGGTGGCTCTTTTTGGAAACAATTAGGAGGTTCCCCCGATTCTTCTGGGGTTTTTAACTAGGAAGCGCAGGAAGAGAGCCTGTTTACATACAAAACGCTGGATATGCCCGCAGAGGGTAGCACAGCGTGCGCGCAAAAATCGCCAAATGGAACTGGAAAGTTTTGTCGACACCTCTGTGCCGAAAGTCCCAAAGTGGAAGGGTGATGCTCCCCCGGTGAAGATGCTCCCCGTAAAAAAGGTGGAAGTTCTCCTCTCAAAGCCTGGCGGTCGTCAGCGCGTCACCTCTGGCCCGTTCCCAAGGTCTGGCACTGGACGAGACAGATCGGTATCCTGGTCTGTAGGCGCGGGAAGTACACCCGATCCGTACAGACACATGTGGATCATTACCCGCGGTTATTGGTTCCAGTCACCGACCTCCAACTCAAGGAATTACACAGGCTCGCACTGGCAAGATGTGGCGGCGCACAACTGTTCGATGACGTACGTTGAAAACTTTTAAAGGCACCCAATGCAATTTCAGGACGGAAAACAAAACATTAAAAAATATTCTGGATGTTTACATCTTTTCCATTTTCATCATCATTTCATACGTCTTCGGAAGCGTTTGATTCGCTACCCAAATTTGCTACCTAAAATCAAGCAACGCCAGGCGTCTTTCTTTTTAGGTACCACCCATAAATAGAAACAGCCTACCATTCAAAAACGAGCAACCGTTTTCCGTCAGTGACATTGCATGTTGCCTCACAGATATCGGTATGATATGGAAGTGATTCTGTTGTTCATTACATAGATTACTAGTAATTGACCAATGGAGTTTAACCACCGTAGTATTTATTAGTGTTCATTTGCCCGCGCAGTTAGGGAAGGGGAAATCAATTAACCATCCCGCGGAGTGACTCTCCTGGCCAATTATTCATTTTTGTCGAATTTTACGATCCGTACCCCCGTAGGAAGGCCTGGTGGAGGCTATTACATAAAGATTACTTATTGGCAGAGGTAATTTCCTTTGGGGCATTCTGGCCCTGGAGCTGAGGACCTGGCCTGTGTAGGCCCTGGAAACAGTCTGGCACCCAGGCTACAAGACGTGTGTGACTACAGTACAGGTACACAGCCCTTACATCAAGGATCATCACGTGTACTATATGTAGGCTACATATAGTGCACTTGATGTATTAAGGGTACTATAGCCTCTACCAGGCTTCGGGACGCGGCTGAAAAGCACCCGGCAAACTATACTCTCCAGCCGACCAACTCCCCTGGCATGCCTGTTAATCTCTCTCAATTTCTACTCTTTCCAACCGGTGAGCCTGCTGGTAGAGGCTATACTATTTCATCTGTTTAAACGATTCTCGCATCTCACAATAATCTGGGATCACGTATACTATATACTCCAGGAGTAAATTTACTAGAGAGTTTTTTCTTCATTATCACTTTTATTATCGTTACGGTAACAATTATTCTGACCAGTGACCCGCCAAGTGTTCTTCTATCACCGCCTGGTGGCATATGGCCGGACCAAGGTCTGTCCTAGTCAGCCGAGTTAGCTCAAAAACTCACCCAGGACAATGCTACAACACTAGAAGCGTAGCCAACCCCAAAAGTTACAACATTGAGGTTAAATGTTGTCTGTATCAACAAAAAGAGGGGGGTCAGCCAAAACTACCGCTGAGCAACTTGACTCACGGAGAGGGGCCTTGCCAAACGCGTGTTCGGCACTGGCCTTTTAAACAGGGGTGCTAGAGTATACATTGCAATTTTACGGAATACAGTGCAATTTTACAGAATACAGTGCAATTTTACTAAGTATACAGTGCAATTTTAGAGAATACAGTACAATCGTATTAGTATACAGTGCGATTTTACGGAGTACAGTGCAATCGTATTTTACTAGTATACAGTGCAATCGTATTAGTATACAGTGCAATATATACTAGTATACAGTGCAATTTTACTAGTAGTATACAGTGCAATTTTACTAGTATAAAGTGCGATTTTACTAGTAAAACTGCACTGTATACTAATACGGTAGCATTGTATTCCGTAAAATTGCACTGTATACTAATACGATTGTACTGTATCCCGTTAAATTGCATTCAGCAGCATTGTATTCACTGTATACTCTGGCACCCCTGTTAAGCTGTATGTCAACAAACTCAACGAAGCGCCCAGCTGATGAGCTTAAAATATGCTCAGGGAAATCTGCATCCGTCAACAAATCCAGAGAACCCTTGTTGTGGATGATTAGCTGCCAACTGTTATGTTACAGACCATAGGGTTCATACTGACGAAAGATGACAACATTGTTTTGGGACAAAAGCCAAAACTGATAGTAAGGATCAGTAAGAACATGTTCTTTTTGCTTCCCACGGAGGTACGAAACTGTACTGTATCGCGATCGAGAAAACTCTCTGGCATCTCTCCCACAGTTACAAACGGTCACAGAAATCGCCCGGGGACAGTTATCTTGGCCACGGCTTGTTTCCTGACGGTTACTAGTAAGTTCGAGAAGCGGCTGGAAAGTAGCCTGGTTACCAGACCTAGTTTTAGATCCCGAGTCTTAAGCTTTGTGCTCTCCTCTATTTGCGGAGAGGATAAAGACTTTGGGAGCTAAAATAGGTCTGGTAACCAGGCTAGCTGGAAAGAGTAGAATGTGGCCAATACCAGGGGGGTTGGTCCACTCCTCGGCTCCTGGCATGTTTGTCTATTTGGCCAACTTTCTATGTCTTCTATGCGCTTCTGAATCGTGTTAGATGCTAGTATCTTCGAACCCGCGCGTGTGTGAATAAGGGCCTAGTATTTTATTAGATGAAAACCATTAGACAGTCGTCATTGCCCAAAAGATGGTCGTTCTTTTTGACTCTTAAACTTCGAACACACAGTGATTCCTTGCACCGTTATTTTAAAGTTTGCCAACCTTGAACCTGTAACGTTATATCCGTGGATAATTTCATCCGGTTAGTGAATGGTTCATTCACAACCACTTGTTTTAACAAGAGTCGACGTTAACGTTTCACAGTGAACAATTAACAGCTATTGCTTCAGTGCACAGTGAACCAGTCTGAGTTTTCCTGAGGAAGATGATCAGTGTAAAATTAAACAAGTTTTTGTGAATAAAGAACTTAGTATATTCTGTAACGTAATGGTTTTACGGAATTTGTTGGTTTTATAGAAAGTTTATTGCAATAAATGATGCTACCAATGTTACTTTTGATATGTTATTGTTGGGCTTCACTTCTTTTTTGTGGGAATATGAAATGCCCGACGTTTAGCGAGATGTATGGTGATGTACGATGATGATGATGGTCTTAATAGAATGCAGTTTTTTTTTTTTTTTGTAGGCTGGGAAGATAAAAGGAAAGGAGGATACTCCGATAGCGTGTACGTCCACATGGTGTTTCCGAATGTGATGACAAAGTGAAGGAAAAAGGATACTGCTACTCTGATGAACTAGTAGAAGAAGTGAAGCTTCGACAGTCCCTCAAAATATCAGGTGACATTGCCGAGTGGCAGTAGGAAAGGATGCTCGGCCGATGTCTGACACAGATACCCCGGAGTTCAGCAGTCCTGACAGGATTGCGTGCCGCCCGTAGCAGGTGGTCACCGTTGGCGCTTGGCCTTGGCTAGCCTCCAACACTATCACTCAGTAGGGGTTCGCAAAGAACATGTGTACATAGGAAAGCGCTGAGAGACCCCAAGGAATGGAGGCTGATACTGAGATCGTTTTCCTCACCATTACAAAAATGTATTTGGTTTGAATGTCGACGTTGGACGGAGTTGAGCATGGTCGGGGTTTACCAAAGGCAGGGCAAACAAACAAACAAACAAACAAACAAACAAAATAACACACAAGGCTTCAGTTGCTCAGAGTAATTCAATCAGCACCACTTCCTAAGAAGGTCGACGCAGAGCTACGGAAACTCGAAGTGAGCTACTTCTGTGTTGAACGAAAGTACAACACTGTATCAACCATCATCATGGAACATAGAGTCTACCGACACGGAAATGCTTTTATTTCATACTAAAGCCTTCAGTTCGTTTGAGGTCTTTGAGTATTGCAGTTTGACTATCTGTACAGCTGTATCATTGTGGTTAGAATAACCTAAAAACTGCTTGGCGTGTCGTCAAGATCAAGCGCACCTAAAGTTCAGGGCTCCACGTAACGTTACATTGTAAAACTCATGTTATTAACGTTGTCTTAAAAAAAGACTAGAAATAGTTACTGCAGACGCATGAAAATATGTGCTGAACAAAAGTCTGGTGTTCATTTCCCGATGCCTTCAGCTTCCTTCACCTTTCTGCTGAATGGGAGGTCAAGAGGTGGACCCAAGTGGCTTGGTAGACTAGCATCTGTGTCGCCCACGTGATTTTTGTTACAATGTAAACAAATATGGCGGATGTGTTGTAGCAACGGGGACCGCCTCACTGAGCAACCACTAAATATCTATTCATCCGCGTCCGTCGTCCTTAAATACCCACCAGTGGAACATATTTTTGCAACAAAAACATACGTATGATTATTAAAAAATTATTACGCTGATAGACTTTTTTTAATTTGTTTGTTTAGTACAGCAGTAGCCACGAAATTTGGCGCACTATTTTTTTTGACAGCGGAAGTACATCGGGGAATGCCTTTCCGTGCGGGGTGTGGTCCGGTCTTCCAGGATACAGTGAATGATTGCAACACAGAAGTTTTCGGTGCAATAACGTGTTCAAGGAACTAACACAGGACAGTCGATAGGTACGTCCATAATAGTTGATAACAAGGGCTTGTTACAAGCATTGGTTTTCTGAAAGTTGTGTTGTGCAGTAATCTAGAGATTGACTTGCAAATGGATTTATACCTTGATTTATAACAAATTGCAGTGTCCGAATGGGGAGGGGCGGAGTACTTTGGCTAAGAAGCTGAAGTTAAAAAGTCTTCAACTAAGTTTTCCATAGGTCGGGATTTATCTATACTATAGCTCTACATGGCATCTAAACTACGCCAGTTACTGTTCAATGTAGAGCTAAGCTAGAAGTTACGTTAACGTGTTTATACTGTGTTAACTTTTGTTTGAAACTTGGACCAATCTCCTATATGTCACTATGTGATATCATTATTTGCAACTTTGAAAGCACATGTAACTTTATAGTTTCAATATATGATATTGCTAGTAATTTCTTTAACAAAATTTTAAAAAAGATCACTTGTTGGTAAAAGAGATGTCTATGTGTCTATTCTAAAATATGTTGTTCTAGAATAAGTTACATAATTTTGTAGAGCAATCACAAACTAGATTCTTTAGTCATAAATTGAATGTAGAAATTAGCCTGGGTGCCATCCGATTTGTAACAAAGGGTTGATGTTACAAATTGTATGGCACCCAGGCTATCAGAAGATATCATGAGTTCCATTTCTATCCACTTGTCTGTTTGTATGTTTAAAGGTGGAGAAAACATTACAAAAGTTGTTGTACTTTTGTTGTATTGGTGGTAAAAGATTGTTATTATCTTCTGTACCAAGCAGGTCACAAAATGGCGGATGACCAGCCAGCTGACATCCCAACGATTATAGAACCAGTGTCAGATGAAACAACCAGCCAGGGTGTTCCAGAGGAGGTAGAGGTGCTCTCGGCAACAGCGGAAACAACCGTTTCAGTTGAACTTGAAGTTGCAGATTCAGACAAAGGAGAACATGTACCCGAAGCAGACAATCCTGTAGTACAAGACGAGGGAAAACAGGATGATAACAGTACAGAAAAAGGACCTGAAGGGTCTGAGACTGCAGGAGAAGGGGATGATGGGACAAAGGAGGACGGAGAGAAAACCTCCGGTGCAAAGGATGATGGGACGGGAGAGGAATCGCACAAAGTTACGATGACAATTACTATCGCCATGGCGATTCCAACAGGTACATTTTCGTTCCTCCCAATTTCACTCTGTAGTACATACTTCACTTTCTAAACATTGAGTAGGGATGTAAAACGTATCAATATACTTTGCAGCTCTAAAAAAAGTTTTTATGTAGTTAAATTAAGGTATGAGGCAATAACATGAATTTTTTTAACACTTTTCTGCCATTTATCCATTCAGGATTTACACTTGGCAGTGAAGGAATACTATATGATACAAAAACAGCGTCACTATGAATAATATATAGATGTACAGTAACATGAAGCTACGTGATTTTGAAAGAAAACATAATGAATTTTAGGAAAACATACACCAGTCTGTACTTAAGGATAAGAAACATCACAAAGACATAGACTTTTTTCATTATGAGCTTAATTATAGGGCTAACAATGTATTCGGGGAAACAATCGCAATATGTTTTCAATCAGACCCCCTTTCTGTACCGGCGGCTCCAACAGAGAGCTTCCTCCTTAGCTCGGATTGTACCATTCACAGTAAAGGTCATCATCACAAAGGACCCACCAGCCCATAATATATCTCTGCCGGGGAGGTACTGTACAGTATTCTCCCAGGGGGCTGGGCTATTGTTGGGGTATTGTAAGCGGTGGGCGGATATTTGTTCAGGCGGTTATTGTGGTGAATTATTTATCACAATGGCGAGGATGATCCGCAGAAATTAAGTTTATCGACCAACATGTAATGTCGTTATACCAGGGCTCTATAGCCAGCACCAGTTTTTCCGTCAGTTGCAGGAACTTCGTGGCAGGTGAAGGGAAAATTTTAAAGCCAATCTGTCAACCTTGACTGACGAAATGGACCATAATCTTGGTTGAAAATATAAAAACAACCAAAGAACCACCAACAATCAACCCCATGATTTGCATCTCAAAATGCGGGAATTTATGTTTTTGAAGGCTTGAAAGCTCAAGATTTCCCCTGGACCCCTCCTAGATTGTGAGCACTCTCCCCCTAGGTCCAATAATGAACCTGAGCTGACGGAGAAAACTTGAGCTGGCTAAAAGAGCCCTGCATTATACTGCTATCAATGGTGAAAGCCCTGGACGGATTTGAATCGAATCCCCACTTTTACAGCAGCATACCTTACACCACAACCTACCACAACTCACCACAACCAGGTCTTGTTTGCTTTGACATGTTGAATGTTTTAATAGTTTCATCTGTATCTCTGTCAGTATAGCCGGTACAACTGCCTTTCAGCGTAACACACCGGCTTTGCAGGCACACGGCGCAGTGGCAGCTGGCTACATCACACCGAATGACCTGTTACACCTAACCCTTGTACATCTAACTCTTAACATTGTTTAAAACTATCTTGACTATGATGTGTAATGCCTTGACTATGATGTGTGATTTAGATGAATCTATTTTCAAGAAAAGTGGGTACGAATTAGTTGTGTTCTTTTTGGCAATTTGCTAATGATATCTTTCTGGACCACTCCACATTACATGCTGACGTAGTGTGGGAAAACGCTTCACGCACAACCAACCGCTCTCGTATGTCACGCCTGTCACGGGCATCAAACGTGTCGTACATGTCACGCATGTCACGCGCTGGTAGCCGATTGGGCACACGCTCCAGGTTGAGAGGTATCAAGACTAGAACCACGGTCAACCACCTGTTAAAAAAGTCTCGCACTGGTGCACAACAGTCACTCACTCAAGCTGGTGTTTTCCTTTGTTAAACCTAGCTGTATTTTAGTTACTTTTTTATATGTTTATTTGTTTGTATGTACAGGGGTGTCTTTTGTATTCATCAATGTTTGCATGAAGTCTGAAGGACACCAGTCAAAACTTGCATACCTTTTCTTATTTTCTGGATTAGTTTTGAGTATGTAACTAATGTTAGAACAGATATTTGTGGTGTTTATTGGTGATTTAAACCCAATTTACGAAAAACTGTACATGCATGCAAATGTAAGAAAACTTTGTACGTCCTATGTTTTTCCTGCGTGTAAATCGGCCTCCTTTGACGTCAAGAACGCACATTCAGATCATACGCTATCTCAAGGTCTTGCGTACCATCGTACATTCTTGACATATATATGTACACAGTTTTCATACGATCGCGTGCATATGTAAGTTTTCGCATCGTCCAGTTTTTCCCTGCATGTAAATCAGGCCATAGCAGTATGTCTGGCGGCAAAGCATTTCTATGCCTAATATAAAATAACATGAATGGGAACTAATATCAGTCCACCATGATTGTCCTATCACAGTTGAAGACGAAGGCCCCACGTTAGAAGAAATGCTTCAGAAGAAGAAGCGACTACTGGAGGCTCCTAAGGCACAGTACTACTTCCACCTGGAGTACTACCTCCTCCCGGACGACCCCGAGCCTCAGAAGGTCGACCTGGTGACCTTCGGGATGGCGGCCAAGATCTACACGGAACACGACTCCAAGGTGGTGAAGACCTGGATGGAAGGGGAGCTGACATGGGTGGCCTGGACACACAGGTGAGATAGTAATTGTGACACCAAAATACGACCTTATCTGATTGTAGTTGACATAACTAGTATTACCTGGCTAACAGACACGTTTACAATAAATATTCACAGTTCTCCTGTTACATTCGAAATTTCAATGCCCGCCTCGGCCAAGTCTGCACAAGCCAGTCCCGGCAGACTATTTTTATCTCCACGTTTTACTTTAATTTGCATTTCTGTATTTTTTCTGAGCTGATGTCACGTCAACCCGTGATGTTAGCTCCGTAAAAAGCACGGAAATGCAAAATAAATCTTGGGAAGCGTGCCAGGACTTCTCCAAAAATGTACTTTTAAAAAGTCAATTTTTTAGTCATCATGATTGAAATGAACTTCAAGTAACTATATTGTATGTATAGTTTCAATATTTATGTGTATTTTACAGACATTCCATGGTCTCATTCTGCAATTACTCTGTAAAAGTGAGAGGGACTCTTGTGGATAGTGACAGTTATGAATGCCGTAAATATTGCCATAGCAGGTAGATTTGGGGGACAAACAAACAAGAATTAAAAAAATAACATTCAACTACTCTAGTCTAAATGCTGACTGATTTGTATTTGCAGCCACAAGATTATAGTTACCAAAGAGACCCTACTGAAGCTGTACAGACATGAGCTGAAGCTGAGGATATGGGACAGTAAAGACAAGGTGTCACCACGGGCCAGGTTCGACCGACCAAAGGCCTTCAGACTACCAGGGGTAAATTTATTCTTTTGTTTATCAAAATTTACCACACATTATGGAAGGATTGATATAACAGGTGACTATCACCTTTTCAAGATGTCAACCCTGAGACAAGACCGTAAGGTTTGAACCACTCACACCGGGAAGGACCCTACTATTTTTGATAAGTGTGGTGGTATCTTTAATGTGCTTGAGGTGTCAACCATCCACCAGGGATTTGAACCCAGAGCCTTCAGATTTAAGAGCCATCAAGAACCGATGAATTCAGGATAACAAATAACGTGCAATGTGAAATTGACCAATTACGCTTCACGAAGAATTTCCCAACAATGCATAACATTGAATCAAAGGCTTCGTCTTCTACGATTTACGGTGAATTAAAATGAAATGGTTCACTGTGCCTTTATGGATAAAGGCATGCATGTTATGAGGTCTGTGCTTGGAAACCAAACATCAGTTGAATACACCAAATCTCTTCTCCAAAGCTTTTATAGCCCCTCTCACATTCTTAGAATCTCCCTCCAGAGGTCTGATACCAGGCATCCTTTACTGGGCTCTACCATTCATTGCTAGTGGGCAGGGGGGATGGGGTTGTCCCACTATAGCCTAACTTAAAGTACAATGTACATGTGTAATCTACAATACATACAATACATAACAATGCAGATCCTCATGCAATATCCATTCTATAGGGAGGTGATGAGCTGGCAGGGGTGAAGTCCTTGGTGCTGAAACAGTCGCAGAGCTTCATGGACATGCAGCCGCTCAAGACACGACAGCGCATCAGGTCAGAGGTCAGCAAGCAAAGGGACCTGCACAGCAAGAACCAGCAGGGTGGGTTAACATTGTGTATGGTTTAAAAGTAGAATATCTACGCTTCTGAGATAGCATGATTGGCTAAGTCTGAAACTCACACACCCCCTCCTTCGGTTGGTCATCTGTTGATCCCTATCCTGTGAGGGTTAGACATGCTTATGGACTTTTGATAAGACTGTGTACGTTTCTTTTCGTATCAAAAAAATTGAGTATATCATGCAGTGTTCTAACCAGCCAAAATTTTCTGCCATCTCAATTTTGTTTGACGTTACATCAGGTTGAAGATCGTAGTAGTAGGGGGTCCAGAAAATTTTAAAATCTTTACCCTCTTATTCACTCCTTCCTTCATAATGATGGGAAAATTTGCAGGTAGACTAAGCAGTGACATCTCTTTTCAATATACTTACATACTCATAGATTTTTGTCTGTGACAGTCAAAGATTTCGGATTGGGTAATAGTTTTGTCCGTCATGAGCAGCAAAATCAGTCAAATGACAGAAAGAACAACTGCTACATTATGTATTTCATAAGAGCCCCCTTACGACCTGCAGTGGCACTGCACATTGCCACTAAAACATGGCCAACACACCATGTCCATGTATCAGTTGTCTCAGGCAGAGCTTAACTTATCTTTGTTTTCATACCAGGAGAGCCAGGTCAGTCAGGGAAGTCAGGACAGCNGAAATCTCCAGACCAAGCAGGTCTCGGGCGAGCCCTCCCCAGAAAAGGGCCGCAGCCCCTCCAAGGACCCACAGGGCCTGTCCCCAGTCCAGGAGAAATCCCCCAGCCCCAGGGGAAAGGCCCCCAGCCCCCAGGGAAAGCCCCCTGCCTCCCCGGTTGACGAAGAGGGAGCATCACATGAAGGAATCAGGTGAGTTGCTACAGAAGGCAGTGATTTTTACCGGTTTGTGGAGAAGGCTATGTGTTAAGGTACACCATATATATCTGGGGTTGGCAATATTTAACCAGTTATAACTTAGGGTGCGGTACATATATCCTTATCATAATCATGATATTTTGTGGTGCATATATCCTTATGATATTTTGTACTTGGGATGACAAAGGTCAGGGTCAATTATGGGTAATTTAGCGGCTTTGTATGGTACTGCAGCGATGTACATGGATAATATGATATCTTGTGTTGTGGACATGCTACATATACATGTATGTTCTTGTTTTTTGTGTAGGACACAGGTGTTTGGGACAAATGAATGAGCTCTTTGAACTGTACTTACTTGTCACTTAACTTCTGTACTTCATATGTTCCATGTCTAAAATTCATACTGTCTTTCTATGTCTCCCAGAACATATGACAGACTGAGCCAGCTGGCTGGTGTGTCCCCGACAGGAGAAGGGGACAGCAGGGGGAAGAAGGGCAGTAAGGAGGCCTCGCCTGTCTCCTACCACGTCCCCATGGCGCGCCGCGTGTCCGAGCAGGAGATCGCCGACCACGGGGGAGACCACCGATCCAACCAGAGGGTGGAGAAGGCAGTCAAGAAAGGAGACGCAAGCCCAGTGGCAGGTTTGTACAGTCAAACGTTCCCATGGCAGGTTGCTTTTTGGTACAGTCAAACTTCAACAGTCTAAGACGACCATCCAGGGGACAAAGGAAACATAGTCTTCATAGACAAGTGGTCTTATTATGCTAGTTACTCCTGTCAGGAATCTTCTTTTCCTGTCACAGAATGTTATGCCTTAGAGCATGATTCTCTCTGTCTTCCACCATGCAACTTTAATACTTTAAATACTTTAGCTGGTGTGTTACGCCGAAGGGCGGTTACACTGCCTATATCGATACAGATACAGATACAGATACTTTCACTTTGTGAAAAATTCAAATAAACAAATAAACAAATAGACACAGACAGATAAATACTTTAAAGATTAGAAAATAACACTGTGACACATGTTAACACAAAATGCATAGCAAAGTCATGAAGCAAACTCGTGTTCAACTGCCGTTTCGTAAATCACTGATCCTCCTTCATCTGTTACCATAGCAACAAGCACGAGAGAACCATCCCGTCAGTACAGCGAGTTTGGAAAGTTGCGACACCCGCTGCCGACAGAAGAAGAGGGAGGCAAGAAGAAAAACAGAAAGAAGGACTCTTCTGCCGCCGCCGCCATGGAGAACATTAAGAAATTTGGAGCTGCCGTCATCCCACTGTCAATGAAGATATTGTTTGCAGGTGAGAAACTTTTAATCAACATGTATCCCCAAACATATTCAGTCAACTTGAATGCTGTTCGAGCCGGCGTCTGTCTTTCTGTCATTTGACACAATTTTACTGCTCATGATGGACAAAAATAATGTCATCATTAAACTAAACTTAGTCTAGCAGTCTATTTGTCCTTTGAAATGCAGGAAATAAGCATTTCAGAGGGTCAAGATTTCAAAATTTTCACAGTGGAGCATGCACTTGAATCCCCCAAGAATTGACGTCTGTTGTTACTCTATACATCACCCATGCATTGAGATGACAGAGAAAATTTCAGACTGGCTAGAACACTGCATTGTTGTCTTGCTCTTCTGAATCTGTCCTCAAAATAACAGCAGTTCATGATCTTATTTTGCTCTGCAGGAAAGCAGTCCATAACCAACAGGCTGGACAAGCCCGTCCCCTTCATACAGGATGTGTATGTGACTGTGGCGCTGGATGGAGCCCTGATGTCAGAGAAACACCTGCGCGAGCTGAACCCCCTCATCATCAAGGTCGCTCACGCCTCCAACATGCCCGCCACACCGCTCAACTACCAGCTGCTCAAAGACAAGTCAGTTGCACATCCAGTTGTCTCATTTCAAATGGAGCATTGACATATCTATTCAGATCTCTATTCATTTTTTAAAAATTACTATCCAGCAAAAGTAGTGTTAACAGTTTTAGTGTTCGTTTCAACATGCCTTCCACTCCCCTCAACTGCTAGCTGCTCAAAGACAAGTCAGTTGCACATCCAATCGTTTTGGTTATTGTCTATTGCCTCTTTAATTAAGGAAACTATTGATAGTAAAATGTAAATTTTGGACCTGAAATTACAATGTAATTATTATTGTTTGTAATTCCCAGGTGTGAACCAACATACATCTGTTACAAGTTCCTGGACCAGGATGTGCACAGAAGTATTGGTAGAGAACAGGACAGCAATGTCTACTGGGATGATCTTAACGTCATTCTTACAGGTAAGCCAATAAACTTCTCTTTTTATAAACTTGCATTTTACATGGTTGGTACACATTTTGTTTCTCGAGATTCACCACACATTGTGAAAGGATTTGGCATATAACAGGTGACTATCACCTTTTCAAGGTATGTAACCCTGAGACCAGAATGTAAGGTTGGAACCACTCAGACCACACTGGGGCCTGTCAGGGATTCGAACCCAGAACCTTCGGATTCTGAGACAACAACCCTAACCACAAGACCACCTTGCCACCTTACATAGGCGTAACATTAAATTTGTATGTAAAGAACAGTTTGTACAAAGTTGTAGTCTTCTGTATCATATTACACAGCTTGTGTTTTGCTCCATTGTCCCCTGCAGGGACCCTAGACCCAGGAGAGCTGCGTGAGTTTCTGATTGGTCCACCCCTCGAGGTTGAAGTTCACGACCGAGACCGGCTGGATTCCACCCTGAAGAAGCCTCCGACCATATTTGGAGATGACATGGAGGATGACAAGATCCACAATGTCGGGATGATCACAGGTGAGGATTTGACAATTCTTCCTTAAAGGCATCCAAGGCAATTTCAGGGCAGCAAAACTGGACTTTCAAAAGCAAGCTTTCAAAGTCAATTTTCCGGTGTTTTTTCTGGTGCAGTAAGTTGATTCAATCCAACCCCTGGTAATAGCATAATGATATCTGTAAGGCAAACATGTGATGTTGCTGACAGAAAATGGCTGCTGTCCTTCCGTTGCTACATAATGTAACCCAGCACCACAGGGTGTGGGGTCGTGTGGCGCAGTCGGTAGCGCGTTCGGCTCACACCCCAGAGGTTGTGGGTTCGAACCCCACCTTGTCACCGATCTTGTGCCCTTGGGAAAGGCACTTTACACGATTTTCCTCACTTCACTCAGGTGTAAATGAGTACCTAGCTTCGGCTAGGGACGTCCCTCGGATAGGACGTAAACTGGAGGTCCCGTGTTTGAGGAGAGCCACACCTCGAGCACGTTAAAGATCCCACCACACCTTTCGAAAAAGAGTAGGGGCATGCCCCGGTGTGCGATGGTACAAACACTAATGTATGGAGTTGGTGATTCACTTCAAATCACCCGGACGGAGGCCTGGCGACCTCCGTCTTGTATATGCCACATGGTGATTTACATCATTCACCCGGACGGAGGCCTGGAGAACCCCGTCTGTATCAGCCAAATCTTGGAGAGGAGATAGGCGCCGCCAAGATTATAAGCCTGAGGAGTCATCGTGACAAGTCCAGACATGTTGCTGGCTGTCATGATGCCCCTACGGCCGTGAAGGCTATGGGACTTACATACATACATACATACCACAGGGTGTCTGCTACAGCACCAGTTACCATGGTGACACAGACCTCTGGTCTAAGTCATTGACCTTATGTATTTTGAGAAGACAAAGAAAGCAAAAACATTGAATGTTCTCAGAGATGACATGAAAGTTGACTTTGTTCTACTCTCTGTAACGCACAGTATAGCCTGAATTTTTTTTAATGATGTAGTTTTCGACATCACGTAACCAGCCCAAACTGTCTTCTTCCAGCACGAAGAACGACCCACAACCCCCTGAAGGAGCGTGAGAAGGTGTGGGATCCGTACGGCGTGGCTAAGTTCGACATGTCGGACCTGCTGCTGGGGCAGAAGTCCATGAACCTGACGGCGCCCATCCACTGCTGTCCCCTGCCCGACATGGCCGGCATCAGGACAGAGGACGGAAAACTGGTGGGCATCATTGGAGCGGTGGACGGACCAGGTAGGTGCTACATGAGAGCCCCCTTACTACCTGCAGTGGCACTGCATTGCTACTGAAACATGACCAGCACTTCAAACATACTATGTATCAGTTGTCTCAGGCAGAGCTTAACTTAGCTTTGTTTTCATACCAGGTGCCGCCCTGTTTCAGAGACTTGCTATAATTGCTTATAGGCATTCTCAGACAGTATGAACTGCCACATAGGGGTGGTACACATGCCCATGCATCTCCATTTTTGTAGTCCTTTGGCCACACAGTTGCGCAAGCACTACAGCAGGGGGCTAGCCTGCTGGTAGTCTTGTGCGTTTCACCTTCCCATACCCCTTGTCATAGATGCTGTCAGTGCCATTTTTAAAGTCTTTAAATTAATGGTATGACCCGGCCGGGGATTAAACTCACAACCTCCCGGTTACAAAGAGAGCACTCTTCCCCGATTGAGCTATTGCACCGTTTGCCTAAAAAAAGATGTTCCTAATTTCCTCCACCACAGAGGCTGCACCATTGCCGACGGGCCACTACCTGGAGACCAACGCCCAGCTGAAGATCAGGCTGGAGGTGGCGTACCCCCTGCGGCACCTGGCACCTGCCAGGTCAAAACACAAGGTGCAGACACCCCCGGAGAAAGTGGACTCTGCCGACACAGGCAGCGATGGGGGGAAACCTGAGGAGCCTGTTGATGTCAAGGTATTGGATTGTCTCATATAGTATGAATTGTACTATCATGAAAGTCCATCTGTGTTAGAAGTTACATGTTTAGAGTTAAAACTTTTGTTCCCACACAAGAGAAATTGTTCACACCTAGAGATTTCGACCAAACAACTCTGGTCTTCTTCAATACACTGACCCAGTGAGACTTGTCATGTGGCTTCTCTAAAGTGTGACATCACTTAATAAATGAATATCACAAAAGGTTAACGAAAGCCCCTGTCACACATAGCCAAAAATGGCCTCCCAAACACTGCTGAAATCCCTCCAACCATGGTTGGGAGTAGGTCGGAAGCAGCTTTCATTGACTGGTGTTTGGGGAGGTTTTCTAGTGTTCAGCCAATATGTTTCAAATTGTGATTTTTAAACAGTTAGGCATGCATATAGGATGTTTGGCCATGGTTGGCTGGTGTTTGGGGGTAGGTCAGCAGTGTTTGGGGCATATTCAGAGGTCAAATGTTACTGCAATTCAACTAAAATTTGACTCGATTTGTATAGAACATACATTTGTAGGCGTGGCCTAAGTGTTGTCCGAATGCTCCCAAACTTTAGCTAAACGTGTGGTTGGGGGAAGGTTCTGAATGTGACGGGCTTAAAAGAAACCGGTTTGTTTATTCCAGCCGCCCCAATGCCCGTTTGCGCGCATCATCTTCATGTTCCCATACCACGACAAGGACTTCCTCCACCGTCTGCAGGCGGAGGTCACCGCCATCAACGCGGCCGCCCTGCAGCTGGACCAGATGCCGCAGCACGTCATCGAGGCGGCGCTGTCAACATACAAGCTATCAGTGTGAGTGCCATATTGTAAAATGCCATGGTTCATAGACTCTGAGGCAGTAACAGAAGTGCTGTTCTTCATTCTTTTGGTTTGATTTAATTATGAGGGCCTGCATGGGGGGTAGGGGTGGTAGTGATTGCTAATTAAATGCAAAATTCTCTCCCCGATTATGAATTACGTAAAACTCTCAGTGTTACGACTAATGTACTCATGATTACGAATTACGTTTTTGGGCAGCTGCCTACAGATTATGAAGACTAAAAAGGCCTGATTACGCCTTACAGTTAGGGCATGCAGGCCCTCAATTATCAACTTCAATATCTGGAAGTTGTTAATATTAACACCTCATTCTAATATTATGAGACTCTTGTTCTCCAATAGGGAACAACAGAAGAGTAAGTCCCTGGACATCGTGACAGGTTTCCAGGTCCTGGATGGAGAGGTGCATGTGTTTGTGTTGGAGGGACTGAGGGACAAGGCTATCCACAGGATCTGGTCTGCACTTCCCAGGCCTGAGGTGTCAGGTAAGGGATGCCTTCACTGTGTATGAGGGTCTGCATGGGGTGATCCTGGCAATGCTTAGCCGTAAATTTAGGAGGACTGATAATGCTTGGTGGTAAATACAGGCAGGCCAGCAATGCATACGGTAAATTAAGTTGTTCTTGTTTGAGGGTTTGAAAGCAACTTCTTTGGAATGTTCTTTTGTATCCATGGGGTGTCTGGCAAAAACTAGTCTGCAGACCTTGCTTGGAAGCTCCGTTATGATTTTGGGCAATGTTGGACTATGCCATATGAATTATTTTTCAATAACACTTAACATAAAAATCTGGATAAGAAATAACATATGGTATGGAACAAAAACTGTCAATTACGCTTCACAATTTCAGCGCTTGACATTAATTAATTAAAGCTGCCAGCTACGATCAATTAACGGTGAATTAAAACGGCTCGCTATGCCTTTTCCAATCTGCAAAGTGTTTAGAGCATCTCAGGTGATGTCTCTGAACGGTAATTAAGAGGCATCAGTAAGCAAAAGTATTGTTAGGTTCTACAGTACAAGCTCTGACTTCAGTATTCTGTTTAAAACCAAATGAATTTTAAACACTTAACAGAAATATCATCTACCTGAACAAATTTTCTATAACCTACTAGTTTTCCATTGATCTGCTTCATTTCTTCTTAACTTCCATGTTCCAGATGATGTCTTCTTTAGAGTTTTGTATAACTCAGAGATGACCTTCCGGCGTCGGCTGTATGCGGAGTTGGATGTTGACCTGTGCCGTGTGCGTCTCCACGAGCCCATCTCTGTCATCGTACAGCAGCCACTACTCTATGTCAGAGACATGGTGCCCAAACCATGCTTTGACTCACTGGCTAGGATAGACAAGGTACTGAAAATCATGTAGTTCACGATTCTTTTGCCATACTTCTATGTTTGCAGTTTTTGCGGTCACTTCTTACACTGCAAACTTATCATTAGAGTGAACAAGTAATTCACCGACTTTCTCTTTACCGCGAACGTATAGTTCCAACAATCTGTATCAATAACTTTTGTTACTTACTGGTATAATAAGGGTCTGCATGTGGGGATCTTCTCAACACCTAATAGTGAATTTAGGAGGGCTGACAATGTTTAATCATAAATTCAGGCAGGCTGGAAAAGGTATGTTAAGTTGTGTAAGGTTTTGGGAATGACTTCATTAATTCTTTGTTTGTATCCATGGAGTATCAAGGGTGATTTTTGGGAAATCTGAGGTTCGACCAAGCACTATGAAGAATTTTTCAATAATGTTTAACAATGAATTCAGGATAACAAGTAATGTGCTATGTAGAATAAAATTGACCAGTTATGCTTCACAAAGAATTTCCTGACAACAGTGAATTAAAGTAGCCAGCTACGATTAACGGTGAATTAAAATTCAGTAAAATTCCAGATCTTCTGTAATGTCTAAATCCATCCTATCGTCACACAGATGCTGCAGTCCACCAAGCTGAGGGACGTGACCAGAAATGACCTCTTCCCCACGGCAGAAATGGTTGTGTCCATGAGTAAGGAGTTTGGCATCCCACTCACCATGGAGGACTTTGAAGGTACAATGAATGTGAAAGAAATGATAACAAAGCTTTCAATATGTTCCATAGTTCTGAAATTCAGAGTGATACAGGTATAATTTGTCTGGTGCAGGTAATTTTTAACCGGTGTAGGTCAGGGCTCTAGCCAGCTTGAATCTTTTTTCTGTCAACCCAGGTTCATAATTGGAATGCTCACAATCCAGGGGGGGTGTCCAGGGGCAAATTTTGGATTTTCAAGCCTTTTACAACACCGTTTCCCACACTTTGAGAAGCAAAATCATGGGGTAGAGAGTTGTTGTTAGTGGTTCTTTGAATTTTGTATTTTTCCCAAGATTTTTGTCAATATTGTCTGTCAAGGTTGATATATTGGTTTTGAAATGTTTTCCTCACATTCATCGTTGTATCAGATCATGTGCCAGGTGGGTTGACCCAAAAAAAAAAATTTGGAGCTGGCTAGAGCCCTGGTGTAAGTATGCAGAAAAAAAGCATTTTGAGCCCTGACTATGTAATGGACAACAACTACAAGCTTGAAAACTTGATACCCAGCTTACATTGACATGAAATGTTCCCCGCAGATCTAAAGAAGCCAGACAGTGAGGAGCAGCCCTCAGACGACTTCACAGCCTCTCCCATGGACATGCGCCGCCCCTGGACACCACTGGACATGTACAACTATGAGTATGAGGAGTTTGTCAAGCAGAGAGAGATGCTGGGGCCACTACGGGACTATGTCAGGGAAAACATTGTGAGTTAAAGCCTAGAACATCTCTAGAACAGATGTCTCACTGTGTGATGCTAAAAAAATGACAAAGTTCTTTATTCACAACACCTTGTTTAACAAGATCATTGACATTTCAATGACTTGTCAGGGTAATTTTGACTGGTTCACTGTGCACTGAAGTTGTATTTGGGACAGCATTGTTAGCAGTAACACCCAGCTTCAGTGTACAGTGAACCAGTAACACCTAGCTTCCATGCACAGTGAACCAGTAACACCTAGCTTCCATGCACAGTGAACCAGTCATAATTGCCCAGATGAAGATTATAGACCATCAACAAAATGTTGATGGTTGTTAAACAAGTGGTTTGAATGAAACAAATGAAATTATTCACGATTATATACGAGATATAGCCTAGAAAATTTATAGGACAGATATTTCACTTTTTATGCTGATAAAAGATATAAAGTGATGGCAAGTTGAACCCAATTTTTTTTATTTCAGGATTTGGTGGACCAGCTGGCAAGAATACCAAAGCACAAGAAGGGGAAGACCATTGCTGCCATGCCTGTACAGGGACGAGTGCACAACTACAGTACACAGGCACTCAACTCCACAGAACTCGCCAAGGAACTCTTACGACAGGAACTTGCCAAGGTGTGTACTGTAGTTTTTTTTTTAGAATCCACTTTGAAGTGTCTTTTGTTGTATCACACTTCTGTGTCTGTCCTTGGTGCTGAATAACAACATCACTTGCTTCTTACTTGGGAACATTCACACTGGTATATCATTGATTCTTAAGCATCACTTCACTTGTTCTTTAATGTATAAACAACTGTTGTGTCTGTCCTTGGTGCTGAAGTATCACTTCAATTGTCCTTTGATGTATAAACACACTACTGTGACTGTCCTTAGTGCTGAAGCATTGGTTTGCTTCCCCTTTAATGTCTTAAAACAATTGGACTGTGTCTGTCCTTGGTTTCCGAAACATCACTTCACTTGTCCTTTGCTATACATGTATAAACAAACACACGTTTGTGTCTGTCCTTAGTGCTGAAGCATCATTTCACTTGTCCTTTGGTGCTGAATCATCACTTCACTACTGCATCTGCCCTTGGTTCTGAAGCATTACTTTGCTTGTCCTTTGATGTATAAAACAATTGGACAGAGGTCTGTCCTTGGTGCTGAAGCACCACTTCACTTGTGTTTTTGATGTATAAACTATAAACAATCACACTGCCATCCCTCCCTCCCCCAGGAGCCTGATGCCAGGTTCACCCTGTGCCAGGACTACCATCACTCCATGACAGTCGACCCAGTCGACCTGGAGGCAGTGAGGAAGCAGCAGGCAGCCGAGTCCCGAGACCTGTGGAGGACCAAGGACGGCTTCATCTACCCGGGGATGAAGACTACCCTGGAGTGTAACGTCCATCCACACAAGCCTGGGGAGGCCAGGGTCGAGGACCTTAGGAAGGTACACACATAAAATGTGTTATTATCAGTTCTTATTAATAATTGAAAGAGACATCAGTCTCACAGGGTCTGCCCTGGTGTCTGCCATGAAGGAAAAGAAGTATGTGTGTTATGATTTGGTTTAAAGAGGGTCTGCATTGGGGAACCTGGCAACGCTTAACAGTAAATTGTCTTGTATAAGGGTTTGGAAGTGACTTCTTTGGAATGTTCTTCTGTATTCTACTTCTAGGGTGTCAGGCAAAGAAAAGGCATGCAGACCCTCTTTGAATGCACAATCTATTGATGGTATGATGACTTGTCTTCCACATCAGCATTGATTGACTACAACAGAATTGAATTGATTTTACAATTTTTGCCTTTCTCACAGCCATGGAGAGAAGGGCTCCTGCACGCTGCTCAGCTGAAGCCCACCCTCCCCAGACGCGAGCGGTACAGTTGGGACGAGCGAAACAGCGACATGGATCTCTGGAAGAGACCGCCCCTGCATTTTGGCTCTTCTGCACCCATCACCATCCACCTTCCTGGTAGTTTAACATCCATACACTTCTTAGTGAGGTTGCTAAGCACATTTGATATTGTTACTAACAGTGTTACAGAAACATGCAAATGCTCCTGGTGACCCCAAATGGAACATGCGTTCTGTTCTAGTGACTGCCAAAGATTTACACATTATACAGGAGTTGTTTCACTTATGTGTCAGTATATACATTACAATAATTATGTTAATGACCCACTTTCCTTTGGTGTATGTGGCATCATAATAATTATGTTTACCAAAGGAAAACATATTGTTTTTACTCAGTTTCTTCTGTTCCAAACATTAACCTCTGACCTGGCCAATGACATGATTTGATGACGTCTGCCACCATGGTGACTGGTGTTGGGTTACATGATGTTGCAATTTCATGGTCTGCTCTACTCCTGTCACCATATACTCGTAGTACATGTATGTGAATGTGTTTGAGTAAAAAGTGACAGGGCAGACCATGTCCAAAGGTAAACATTATGCATTTGCTTTGCAAATGTTACTTCTCTAGTTCACGGTTAGTTCCTATTACCACCCCATAAACGACCTTGTCTGTATACACATCAGGGCGGGTCATAATAACCCTATAGTGAAGGTTGAGTTGTTAAAAGTGGTCCCTTCTATAACTCCAGGGAAACTTCGTGAGGAGGAGATCATGGAGGCTGCCATGAAGGACTATGAGGACTGGCGGTCCAAGATCGTCCCCAACGACACGCAGATGCACTTCCACCGCATCAACAAACAAACGGAGCTGAAGCAGCGCGGCAAGCGGTCAGGAAACCAGCTGGACAGGCTGCGGGGGCTGCTGAAGGACGATCCCAGAAAACTGGCCTTATCCAAGTCAGGTGGGCATCAGCCTTGAAAAAATAAGTGGCATTAGCTAAACTAAATGATAATTTTGATAAATGAAAAAGAATCTAATATTAATTAGAAAGGCCAATATTTGCTTTGGAGCAAATACAGCGATGGGTTCACCACATTTTACAACATGGCAGGGAAAGAATGAGAAACACAAGGGAAAACAATGATTTATTACATTGATATAACTATAATATGAAGTAACATACAACTAAAACAACAGTTGGATAGCTATTCCCTACTTTATTGGTTAGGATTTTTAATTGCATAATGCAAACTGTTGATTTTCAAAATAAAATAAAAAACGTTCATGCCCCGCATTCCAATGCTGGAGCAGAAAAGCTTGAAATACCTACCAAAACACTTGAATAAAGACATACTGTCAGTATGGAAATGCTCTGTGCAGGTGTTAATCAAGTTAAATCCCAACAGCCAATCAGCAAGAAATGCTCTGTGCAGGTGGAAATGCTCTGTGCGGGTGTTAATCAAGTTAAATCCCAACAGCCAATCAGCAAGAAGTAAAGAGGAAAGCTGCATGCCTATTGGTTGATGCCCTGCATTCCATTGTGATGACTCATGCCCAGACGTGGTAAACACGGCACACTAACACAGTAATACATTTGCTATAACACAGCCAAAAAAACTCAAATAAAACCATTCTAAAAGCCTGTATCACAAAAATTTAAAAAACGCCTAGGGGTTTTTGCCCACTGTACCTCCATACCAAATTTCAGGACCTTAGGCCCTAAAATGAAGAAGCTGAATCCATTTAAAGATATGGCAGGAGGAGGAGGAGAAGGAGAAGAAACATCAGAAAAAGCAATATGGGTTCACCACCACTTCGTGGTGTGGTGAACCCATAATTATTGTATTTCTTCATCTAGAAAGTATATTTGGCATAAAGATTCAACAGTATGTTTTCTGTATTCCCAGATTCAGAATAGTTTGCTATTACTATCCTTGAATGTGCAATGTATGTACAATGCTTCTTGACATTTGTGATGTCCTATCTACTACAAGTATCGTCATTGTCTTGTTCCTGTGCTGACTAGCTTTGTATTGTAACATTATTTATGTCATACCTGTAACGTTCCATACAGGTGTCCCAGCCTAGCAGTATTATAACGCAGGCTTCCGAAAGTTCCCTAGAATAAGTTGAATGAGTGCACCATCTTCAGAAATTGGAACACCCGATTCAGACAATGGTTTGGTTTTGGTCTTCCCTTAAATGCTCACGATCATGATAATGATCACTCTGGCATAGTCATTAACACCTGAGCAAGATGAGGAAAGTCGTGTAAAGTCAGCCTTTCATAAGAGCACAAGGTTGGTGACATGGCAGGATTCAAACCCTGGACCTCTTGGTTCTGAGCCAAATGCTCTGCCATTATGCCACAAGACCCCCTGATGTAATGTTACAATTGTATCCTACTACAGGGTTTTCACTGAAGGAGATCCCGCCACTGTCAGTGGTGAACTACCCGAGTGTGGACAGGGACAGTCGAGAGGCCGGTAAGACCCTCCTCCCTGCCGTGGAGAACGAGGGAGAGGAGCGGGGGCCGGGGTTCACGCCGGGACCGCACACCGAGCACAGCTGGCTACTGGAGAAGAACAAGATCCCCGTACGGGACATGGAGCATTCCCGCTTCATCTCAACTAGAGGCGGCGACTTCAAGTAAGTAGGGAGTCCACATACTGCACAAACATGCAAGATAATGCCACAAATGTATACACCAGTTACTGCATCAGTTACTGCATAGTTGAAAAACCTTAAAGGATGGTCATGCACATACAGCAGTAGCAAATGATTTAGCTGAGCCTGTGGAGTCTTTCATCCTCTTCACAAATAGAGCCTGACAAATGTAATACAGTTGAAAAAACTTAAAAGCGACTCAAACTCAAACATACAATATACAATATGGTACGTCCCTATACAAAGTGGTCATGTAAAATACCACAATTATTTTGTGTTGGCAATGCTTCAATGCTATGAACCACTATTGATGCACCATCTGCATGTCTTATTTTTGCTGCTGCTCACAAAAGGTGGAGGATCTCTGTAAGTCAAGTCCCTCTGGGTGCTTCAGTGGTGATTACTTGTATTTGAGACCAGATTTACACATGGGGTGTAAATTGGCCTGCTTTGAAGTATTTAAAGGATGTATGTTAAGATTGTATGCCAGCCATTGAGGTAATGTATGATCTTGGCAAAGCAGGCTGATTTTTACGCTAAAAATTGACATGCAGTTTTTGTATGTTAGCATGCGTACCAAGTCTTGGTGCATATGCTTCCTGTCCACATGTGTAAATCGGGTCATATCCTTAGTATCCAAGTTTTATGACATATGACAGTGATGAAGTTATCATATATCATATTTTCCACATGTCTTAAGTTGTTCTGTATTTCATCTCCATAGTGTGTACCACAAGGACAGAAGTGTTCTACACAGCCGCTCCATCCCCCCTCTTCACCCTGTGGAGAAAGACAACAACCTGTTCAAGACTCCGCCCAAGACTAGGGTCCCCTCCCCCGCCCGCCAAGGACCGACATTTCACCCCCGATGACAAGACAGGGAGGAACTTCTACAAGATCTTCCCCGGCCCGGCCGCTCTGAAGAACCTCAGGAGCGAGATGGTGACGGAATAAGTGCGTGGCCTTTGGTTAAACGTGTCACATAGTTATAGGGATGAAACAAGTATGTCGGCATAACGTACTGCACCTGCGGGAAACCTGTGTTTTTTTCACTGGATGTTTTTTCACAGTTTTCATTGCAGACGATATCTTTTCCGACACAACATTTGAGAACTATACGCAGAATGTCATGCTTAAATATGCAAAAACAAGATGTTCTGCAGAAGGCACAATACATTACAGGTTTCGCACAGGCAAAGTACGTTTGGCCAACAAACTATTGAACCATCATGAAGTATGTGCATCTTTTTCTGAATGATCTTTGGTGCTTAAATCATCAGAGGTGGAGATTTTCCAAAGGCTGAAATTTCTCATCCTCTTTAATAGAAATGTTATAACAGTTATAACAATCAGGACAAGTTCACATTATGAAAGTGATGTGATAATTTCATCCCTTGTACAAAAGATGCTTAAAAAGGTATTAACTTTTCTCTTTGATGCTATTTTGGGATTTGAATGTAACTTTGTATTCTTCATTGCTAATGATATTTAAAGTGACCTTGCCAAGATGTGTAAGCATATCGCATATAAGATTGTACATCATCAATATCAGAGTGAATTATGTCTGTTGTGATCTTTGGATACATTTTCTTTTGCATATTTTGCAAATTGCTGCTTCATGAATTTTACTGTGTCAAACTGTATCAAATCCGTCCAAAGTTACTAACATATCAGACCAAGAAAATTGTGGACAATAATATTTGTATTTTCGCCTTATCATACAAGGCTTATGTCAGAATAACACAGTATGGAAGAACGTAATAACTATGTATATGTACATATTAGAAATTGAAAGAAGCATGTGTAAAAAGGAAAGGAAATATGATCATACCAAAGTACATGTATGTGTATATCTGTATATATAATAAGTGTATGATATTCTTTGCAGTGAGTTGCTGAATAAAAGTTTATTGCATTATTTTCCACATTCCTTTACATTTGTGACTTTACTTCCAGACTCTTAAGATTTCGGATACTGGGTAAACCGATAAAATATCTGAGGTCTAAAATAGATTGGTTTATGTTTTAGTAAATCTTTCTGCATGACTCTTCTTCAAAATGTTTAAAACATTTGGGTGTGGACAGGAGTAGGTCTGAGCAGTTGTTGGGAGTCAAATTTGACTGAAATTTACTTCAAATTTGATTCAATTTATATACAAAAATCTGGCCAGTCTGCTCCGAACTTAAGCCAGCTTGGTTGGTCGGTGTTCGGGGGGAGTGTTCGGAATGTGTGACATTGGGGCTTTATAGGTCGGATCAAGGACACGCTGTGTAATGTCCCTGGTCGGATACAGGGCCATGTTATTGGATCAGTGTAGGAGGGATGTAGATAGGTGGTGGTGGGACACCATGGCCCTGTTGTTGCCTCATGGCCACATCCTCAGCCGTGGTGACATTGAGAGGTGGCAACTCTCCCTGTCTGGTGTACATGTCCGTGGCCGTGACATCAGGAGGATATGGGGAGGGAGGTCTAGGGTAGGCTGGGGGCCCACCATGGGGTCCTAGCATCTGCCCAGCATTTGGAGGGTGTGGTAGGGGTGGTCCGTACTGGGGAGGGACCCCTCCAGTCATCTGCCCGGTGCCTGTTGGGTAAGGTCCTTGGTGAGGAGGTGGGCCTTGGTGAGGTGCAATGCCGCCAGCAGGAGGGAACATATGTCCAGAGGGCACACCGTGAGGTCCTTGGCTGAAAAGATACAGACAAGTTGCCATTTGTATAATGCCTGAATACCACAACCGGATCCAATATGCAGTATAAATGAGGCAAGGACCTTGTGTGCGAGCAATCCAACCCATGGTGCAAAACACTATCTATGCATGAACAACCGCATCTGGCCTTGGTGCTGAACACCATCCACACATACAAGAACTACATGTAGTATTCACACAATTTTTTTTCACACAGAATCCGTCCGAAGTTTCATAACTGTGAACAAAACAACAACTGGTTAACATCTGTAAGATTTGCTGCATGTTTTCTATACCTAATTCATACAAAATGTTTTCTAAGCCTCACACAAGGTCCTTGCCTCATATACAATAGTTGTGGTTGGTTTTTGGTGTTCAGGCAAACAACAGTACAAAGTTTATTTATGTTTACCTTCGCAGAAGGAAAACATGTTTTTGCTCTGTTTCTTCTTCTTCTCCAAACAAATAAGGTCAATGACCTGAACCAGACGTCAGTCACCATGGTAACTGGTGTTGGGTTGAATCATCAATTTTATAGCAGGGGAATTTAGACTCCTTTCACCATATATATGAAAAATGTGTTTGAGTAACAGAGCTGACCATGTGCGAAGGTAAACATTATGCCTTTCTAGTTGCACATATCTCTTCCTAACCCTTTTCCCTTCCTCCCATGTACCTGACCTGTCACTCACCCATAGTAGGCGGGGTCAGCAGCCTGTCCTTGTGGCACAATGACGTGAACTTGCTGGGGTGGTCGAGCACAGCAGTAGCGCATAATGGGCACCATGGTAGCTATAAAGACAATGACTCCAGCTGACACGAAGACGATCATCATGATTTGATCAGTTGACAACCGGTAATCCCAAGGACCTGGAAAAAGTTTATCATAGCCTATTTTAGCTTCCAAGTCTCTTTGGTCTTCTCTGCAAATAGCTAGAGGAGCTGACAAAAAAGACTAGTCAGCTAAATAGGTTTGGTATCCAGCAGGCTAAGGAGGCAAATTTGTGCATACATACATAAAGGATTTCATCAGGTTGGTGAATGATTGAACAGCAAAAAACCAACTGCCCACAATACTCCGTCCGGAGGTCATGACCTCCTTCACGGAGTAACAAACGTTTTGATGGCCATCTGTCACCTTCATTAGGGAAATTATGACCTTCAATGATAATTGCTCTGAGGAAGATGACACACACAAAACATCAGCTCTTGTCAAACAAGTGGTTGTAAATAAAGAACTTTGCTGTTGATTTATTCATAACGTTACGTACTTTATGAGTAAAATTGTAAGTAGTAATATATAATATGAATCGGCCTACTTACAGTTCTCATCTGCCCTGTCTGAACAGTGGTCCACCTTGTCGCACACCCAGGAGTCGGGGATACACATGGAGTCTGCTGCACACCAGAAGCCTGTACATCCACTCTGGTCTGGTGGAGAAACCAATATACAAAACAGGGTAGACAAAAAAAGCTTAAATTCCTAGTCCTGCTGCTTTCAACAATTGTTGGGAAGCATATTCATGTCCTCAATGTTGTGCCCAACATATGTTGGGAAGGTTTTACTTAATTCTCATGAATCCAATGTTTTCAGGACTTCTTAGTTACAGTGTAGAGTCTAGTAAAACAAAAGCAGTACCCCCTATTCCAAGAGGGTCTCTTGGATTTGAAATCCAAGAGGGTTAAAAGATAGCTACCCAGGGGCCAAAGTGGGAATAGCTGGGTACATGGTCTGAGTGTGATGACCATACAAAACAAGTAACCATTCTCTGCAACCGCATTTTTGCCTCACAGATATTAGTAATTTTTGCTGAAATTCAACTTACATGTACTACATTAAGAAATGACCAGAAAACTGACTTTGAAAATCCAGTTTTGCATACTGCCCTGAATTTGAAGTTGCACTGGATGGATGCAAATAAATATCTACCTGTTCCAGGATCATAGCTGTTCCAGGCTATCTTGAATCCGGAGTGCTGGACAGTGCTGTCCGTGCGGAAGGTGACCACCACCATGTGTCCGGAGGAGGACAGAGACTCCGGACGGTCCAGGTCTCCACAGAAGAGCAGGGTGTCGTGATCTTGGATGCCCTGAAATTCCAGGGCGTCACAAGTGCATGCTGTGGGGAAAATGCATGGTAAATGGTTCAGTTCCAACTGCCATGAAAATTTTGACCTGGTGTCCAGTCTAGCCTGACTAATCGCGCTCCTGTCGGCCGGCCGCCCCGAAGTTGCCCCCCTTGGGGTGGAGAGCTTGTGTAACACAGGCTAGTGTCCAGTCTATCCAAGGAGGTACTTAACCTCCTTGGTCTATCGTAGTTTGGGCGGGCCCCCTTCTGGTCAATGTACCTACGGGCCTTCGTAAGCACGCCACTTTCGGTAGGACATTTCTGCATGGGGGACACTCCTGCATATGAACACCGGGATGTAGACGTTCTTCGCCGTCCAGTTCAACTGGGCTCAACGGTAAGAGTTTCACACATCGTAAGATATATATTTGCACGGCAGAAGTTTGCTTTACCTAAACTCCCGTCGTGCAAAAGCTATCGGGGACCCTAGTTGAACTGGGCGGCGAGGGTCGCCTACAGACCTGAAGTGAGTCCGCCCAAACCACGATAGACTGACCGCCGGGCTATGAACATTTCTGCAGGGATTTTTCTATTGCAAACTGTAAACTTAGAACCTACAGTGTCCTCCACATTCCTGGATGTCCATGTTTTCTATCCATACGTTGATCTTGTGGCCGTGGCTGGTGGTGAGGACGACCGTACATTCGGTTTCGGCGCTGTAGCTTGTACCGGTGGAGTAGCCGTCGTGAGAGACCACGGGAACGGTGGGGTCACTCAGGAAGCGGCTATCACAGACTGAAGGTACGGCAGGGAGTACATGTAGTATCAAAGTATTGGATTGTATGTATTCCGTAAAATTCGTATGTTTCTTGTAATATTGTATGTTTCTTGTAATATCGTATGCATTTTGTAAAATTTGTATGAATTCCGTAAATTTCGTATGAATTCCGTAAATTTCGTATGAATTCCTTAAAATTCATATGAATTCTTTTGCACCCTTGAAGTTTGAGACTTCAACTACACATTCGATAGCTGCCATGCAAGTACATGCAATAAAGGTATACAGTAAAGGGATCGTGAGTTATAGCTGCGAATGTACGGACTACAATACTAAGTCGTAGGTTGCAGACCTCCTTCACGTAATAATGAAGGAAGATGTCAAGAAGATCATAAAACAGCTCCATACTTACTGGGTATGCCTTCTGTAGGCGTCTCTTCTGTAGGGCCTAGGGCAATGAAAGGGAAACAATTATAAATTCCGCTATTTTGTGGTGGTGCCACAAATGGAGTGTGCCTCATGAAGTCTGTTGTTACCCCCAACCAATTGTGAGGTAAACTGTGCACAAATATCTTGAAAACGTTTAGTAGATAACAATCACACTACGTTTTTTCCAATAAAATATTTCCATTTTTGGTGCAAAAACGTTACATGTACATTACGCCCCTTTAAAACACTAACCCGGTGGCGACACAGTTGTTGTCTGGACGTCACCGGTGGAGATAGCGGTGTACTCGGCCCGAAAACCCTCCGCGTTTCCGTAACTGTCGGAGGCGAACACCAGATACACGGCGTTGGAGGAAGACTGTACCGTCGTGGGTTCTCCCATCCCGCAGTAGTGCGCTATCAGGGGTGCAGACGGGCTGCTCCCGGCATATATGGACAGGTAGTCCCCGGAACAATATCCGGCGATGTGGAAGGTACTGAACTCTAGCTGGAAAAGACGGGAGTGCAAAAAAATCAGGTCTTCAATTGATATTATCAAAGCCTAAAACGACAAAGCTTGGGTGCGGACGGGCTTTCTACGGCAAGTAGTCGTCCCCGAAACAATTACCTGCGATGTGGAATGTCCTAAACTCAAGCTGGAAGAGACGGGAGTGCAAAAATCACGTCTTCAAATGTTATTACCAATGCCCAAAGCGACACTACGAAAACGCTTCTCCAGGCCATTTCCAGCCCTTCCACGCCAATTTCCAACAATGGAATGGGGCATAAAGCCAACCTACCCGAACAATGTGTCCGGCGCTGACCTGGATGGAGTAGTAACAGGTGGCGCTGTTTTCGTAGTTGCCAGGGTACCCTGGGGAGGAGATCGTGCCTGTGTCTGACGTGTACGTCCCTCCACACGTGCCCAGGATTGCACCTGCACACAACACAGTCATAATATTTACACAACTATAGCTATATAAAGGGTCACTGAACCACATGTTACACTTTATACAAGCGCAGAGACCTGACTGACTGACTGACTGACCGTCCGTGAGGACCGAATAAGTGGCCAGGAAGCCGTCTCCATTGGAAGATGAAGAAGTGAAGGTCAGGGTCAGGCTGGTTCCCGCCACGTGGAGGAAGTTGGCGTCGTCCCGCCTGTACACCGTGTCGCCGGCGTGGTGCTCGCCTGTGGTGACGACCCGCAGGGAGTCTCCCCCTGCCGAATCCAGGGAGAACTGCACGAAGAAGAGCTGGCGTGGGAACAGAGCAGGAACAGTCAGGTCAGTAAAAGAGATATTTACGTACAAAATGTAATATATACAGGAGCCAGTGTGGTATGGATAAACATAAAACGTCAATTGAGGACTAGGAATCTTTTCAAATCCGTTACCAGTTACCATGCTTTGCCAATCAACTTCAGGGCAGTAAAGCTAGATTTTCAAGGTCAATGCATTGTCTGGTCATTTTTTTAAATAAGACGAATTAACCCTAGCCCATAGCAAGCTGATACCATACTGATATCTGTGAGGCAAAACTACTGACGGAAACTGGTTGCTTGTTTCGCATCGTAGACTGGCGTAGCTATTTGTTAGTGGTACCCAAAAATAAAATGATTTCTCGCATGGCATGTTTATGGGCTATCTTAAACGCTTCAGGTATGAAATGATACTGAATATGTGCTAAAATGGCAGTAAATATCAATATCAGGCAAATTTCCTCATCCAAAATAGTTTTGATTTGCCGACCCCAAATTGCTTTAGATGCCTTTCATAAGAAGTACATGTTACTTATGCAGTCACGCAAATTATTAACAGTACGCCTTGAAAAATCTAGTTTTTAAAAACTCACCTGTATGACATCGTCCGGACTGGCGGCTGTCAGTTCATACACACAGTTGGAGCTGTCCGGATAGTTACTTGGGTAACTCGGAGAGGTGATGGCACCCGAACCGCTACTTATGGTAGCAGTTATGCCACAGTCTCCCAGGGTGTCTGAAAAAAAAAAAACAACAGAGGCGTACTCACGACGTCAGAGCAATAGCAGAAAAAGAAACGCATAGAACACTCATATAAGTCAATGGTGTGAAACAATAGCACCCACTTTTGACCCTCCTACTAGCTAGTTGGCCCCGAATCGACAAAAAAGGAAGACATGTGTGCCAGGTAGAGACTCCGACCTGGTAGAATGGACAATTCTCTACCGTAATAGAGTTTCAGATCGGGGTCTCTGTCAACAGAAACTCCTATTCTCTCTGAATAGACTTCAAAGAGACTCCTAAAAGTCAATCAGTGATGCCATTTTAAAAGTTTGCAGTTGCCAGTCAAATAAATAGATACTAGTATATTTTCAGCCTTTTTAGCTTTTTAGAGTTTCAGCCTTTTTAGCTTTCGTCCGCTCCCCGCGATCCGCTACCGGTCAGAAAAAGGCTGACACTCAGGCTAGTACGTGTAGTATACTAAACATGAATCACAGATTGTACCAGTAGAGACTCCAACCGATACCTCTACCGGACGGTAGATACTCCGTTCAGGATCTCTACCGGTAGACTCCGACCGGAGTTTCTGTAGACATAGAAGAGAGTCTCTACACTACGAAGGTCCACAACGACACTTCCATACGCCTCTTCCACAGCCCTTCCACACCGCGCTACCAGGGGATATACCTTCCATACCGCTCTTCCACAGCTCTTCCACACCGCGAGGTGTATGGAAGTGTCGTTGTGGGCCTTCGTACTACCCTGATATATTCCACATACCTATGGTGTCGAACGAGTAGTCGAAAGAGAAGCCCCTGTTCGTGACGCTGAAGTCGGTTTTGAAGCGCACTCGCAGACTCTGTCCGGGGGACACGACATACGGCGGCATGTCCGAGCCGCAGTATTTCTCTCCTATCTGTACCCTCGGGCTGACCGAGGTGTCGTAGATAGACACGTCATCCCACACACACGACGGGCCCTCCTCCAGTCGGAAATCTGTAAACTTGATCCACACGTGGTCGTCTGCAGCAGACAATATAAATAAACTAGAGAAGTAACATTTGCAAAGCAAATGCATAATGTTTACCTTCGGACATGGTCTGCTCTGTTAATTCTTACTCACATACATGTACTACTAGTATATGGTGACAGGAGCAGAGCAGACTATGAAATTGCAACATTATGTAACCCAAGACCAGTCACCATGGTAACAGACGTCAACGAATCATGTCATTGGTCAGGTCATAGGTCACTGTTTGGAGAAGAAGAAGAGGAAGAAACTGAGTAAAAACAATATGTTTTCCTTCGGTAAACATAACAAGAAAACAACAAACTATAGCGTAGAAAGTATGCCTAACGTCAAGATACAATGGAAACAATATAGAGATATTTTGTAATAGTTAATTCCATTTCTTGTTTCATTCGGCCAGTCTTTGCCCCCCGACATCTGCTTGGTTTTCATTCATTCATGTGGAAATGTCTCCAACGTCATACCAAGCATAAAGCTGGGGTCACCTTGGAGGCAAAAGTAAGTACAGTGTAGTGGGTATAAAACACAGTGTAGCAACAAGATGTTCATTACGTTCCATGGGAACACAAGATCAGCACCAAGGACAGGGTAACTCTGGGCGGTGACTGTGAATGTACTGATCGTAGAGTTCATTGTTAAGGATAGTTACCTCGAGTAAGGAGACATCCTCGGTCTTGTTTGTGCCTTTGCAGCTATAACTCACCGAGGGTTTGATTTTTTAAATGTTTTCGGTATGATTAGCTATTCGGGTCCATATGATGCGTTTTTTCTTTGTATCTGTATTTTTAGACATTGGCCTATATCACACTACTTCGAGGGGAGGGGGCAAGCATTTATTGGTAACATTGTTGAAGACTGCTAGAATTAAAGGAGACTGTAGATCGATATGAATGGTATGTAAAGACCTTAGTACTCACCACCGGACGCCGTGAAGTCATAGTTACAGAGCAGGAAGTTGGGATAGTTGCTGGGGTAGCTTGGAGAAGTGACTGTTCCCTGTCCTGAGGAGAAACTGGTCTGTCCGCAGATTGTTCCACTGACAGGAACTAACCGGTACCAAGAAAGGACCAGAAGAAGCCCTGTGGATTACAAACAACCAATCATTTAGAATATTATTAAAATGTGCATTATGATGTGCTTAAGAATCCAAAGAAATGTAACTTACATACCCACGTGCACATGGTTACCTGAACGTTGTGTCAGTCAAAAGACTAAAATGTGCCTATTACCAAACAACAATGGTCAACCTTACCTAAGATACAGGTCTTTTCCATGTTTCGGCACGGCTGGCTACATCTTGACCGGTGTACCAGCCGTTGTTTTCATTGTATGAAAGCTAAATCTTTGGCGGCATATGCTTACATCAACCTGTGCCCCTGTGTTATCATGTTGTTTGAATAACTAGAACGGTGTTCTACAGAACACCTTTGTGTGGAACACCTTTCCGAAAAGAGCCACCGTTCGAACTTCGGACCAACAATGCTTCGAAAATCGCCTGGAACACTGTGTGTCATAAAGTTACTTTGTTACGTCACAATCGTCTCCGTTTGTATTTGGTTGGCTGTGATGTCACATGGATTCCGATTGGTCGGCTTTGATGTCACAGGGGATTCGGTTGGTTGGCTGTGATGTCACTCTGTTTTCCAAAATCGCTTGGAACTCTGATGCGTCATAAAGATGACTTTGTTACGTCACGATCGTCTCCATTTGTGATTGGCCGGGACTATGACGTCACAGAATGTGCTTTTCGTACTACACTACCATGTGTTACGTAACCAAAAAAACTTTTCTGACATCACAATGAATAAAAAGGGCCCTCCTCTGGCTGGTACGTCGCGCTTCTAGCCCAACGGGCCGGCCGGCCGGGAGGGGCCCAGGGATTCTCCACGTAACCGGCATTTGGAACCTGTCGAAGGACGGAAGCTCTGCAAATTCTAACCAGAAACCCTCCTTACCACACATGGAGTCAACAGCATGGGTGAAGAATGGACTGGACAGCGTTAGTGACAAGGTATGTCGTAATTTCTGTCAAGAATATTTTATGAGGATGGCCCTAGGGATAGAAATGCCACCTGCATTTATGATTATATCCTTGTCGAACCCTTCCTGTCGACGTCGACAATAGCTCGAACGATGTTGCACTTTACTGCTAGTTCATTGTCTATTTTAACCTGTATATATTTCATTCTTCGGAATTTCCTTTTAAAATGTTTGTAATGGAACGGTGCAATTCAGTTACTACTGCAAGGCCGTTTTTATTGTGAATAATTATAAACCAATTATGATGCATATATGCAGGTCTACCTAGACCTAACCTGCAATGGTCTATGCCTTAGGTTTATATACAAGGCATATGTGGATTGGATTTGTGTATTGATTGGTATCACCGCCCATGCCACCAAAACAGTTTTTAGTAGCATGATACATACTTCCTAAATTAAAGTGTGTGGTGCAGGTAAACTTTCCATGACTTTGTATGTTTGTTGCTTCAACTTTCTAGACATTGCTCTACACTACGTCGACACTGGTACAGGGACCAGGTATAGAGACTACGCCTTCCAGCACCACGATAGACGGAGAGATCTGCCGTATCTGTCACAGCAAGGAGGACCTCACAAACTTCAAGTTAGTATTAAATGACTAGTGTCACAAAATCTACTTTGTGCCAAATATTACGAAAGCCTTACTTTTGTCAGACCCTTGTTTTATATAGGGTCAATACATCAATCGTTCTAGTTTTCAGTGTTCCTTTTCTCCCGATAGACCACTGGTATCTCCATGCGCGTGTTCAGGGTCTGTGCAGTTTACCCACTTGGACTGCCTGTCCCAATGGCTCCGCAACAAGGACGCCCCTAGCGATCGGTGTGAAGTCTGCAAGACGAAGTTTGACGATGATGTAGTTCAGGTGAGTTCGGCTATTTTTTGTCAATGTGTGTTTCGGTACGTGTTTTTGGCTACGCCTCTGGAAAGAGCCCAATGGAAATCTAGGAATTGCTCAGGAATGTTTGCGTAGGAATTCCAGATTGTCCCAAAGGACCAAAGGAATGCCAATTGTACGTCAAGTTGTTTTACCTTTCCAACAGAGATGTCAAGCTTTGGCGGATACAAGCGAGTCTTCCTCGGAAACCGGAATCAACCAGTCCCAACCAGATTCTTCTCTGAGCGGAGTCGGCCTACCCATCATGCTCTTCTGTTTGTTCTTCTCATTGTCGTTGCTAGGTTACACGTCGTACATTCTCGTTTGCTATTTCCCGAAAAACATCGACTGGCTGTCCATGTTATCGGTGGCGCTGTGCATCCTGTTGTCGCTAGTTATGCTCGTGGTGGCGTTTTTCTGCTTCAAGGCAGTTGTATCCGAGATAGGGAGACGCCTTGCGACCAAGACAAGAACAACAGAGGTGGGAGAAGAGCTCACCGAAGTCGTGCAGTTGTAAAGCAAAAAGAAACTGAGACATCGCCTGAACATAAAGCCCATACATACACATTTTGTGCAATAAGTTTTCAAAAAATTCTTGAGACAGTATAACAAACTTGTTCACATTCTCGTTGTGGCTGCTCTATACCATTGAATAACTGAATAAAGTGTTCAGTGCAGCAACATGTAGTGAATATGCATTTCTTACTTTGGTGGCGGATATGTACGGTCAACTTCGCTAAATCCCAACACAAAGTTTGTTGTACATATTGTTTGTATATGCCAGGTAAAGATTCCGATCTGATAGAATCGACGATTCTACCGGTAGTGATCCCGATCGGAGTCTATATCAACAGAAACTCCGATCTGGCCTGGAGTCCAAATCTCCAAGTAGATCCTAGGGCGGCAAAAGACAGTATCAAATTGATCAGGCAGTATCCATTGGCCAGAGAGGGTCCAATACGTGCACCAACTGGGCCCTCTAGATCTCTGGCCAATGGACACTGCCTGGCCAATTTGGTATATTGTCTTTTGCCACCCTAGGATCTGCTTGGAGATTCCTGGAGTCCAGCCTTGTTAGATTTGGTACGGACCAAATATGGAATGGAAATACCTTTTCAGTATTCTATTCCAATAGTTCATGATACAAATCTCATGTCACTATATATTACAAGTCCTCCGCATTACTACTAAAATGCATACATAATGTCAATATCGCTGTAGTCAAAAATTTATTTATTTTACGACAATGTTATTTATTCATAAAGGGACGTTGCGCTGAATAAGGAGACACGTGCTTTGCGTGAGCTGACAAGATTAGCCCAGGGATTAGTCATTGTTGCTCTAACGTACGAAAGACCATACGGACAATACGACAAGGCTTCACTGCCGGGCCATTTCTCTTCGTTCCACACCGATTTCTCTTCGTTCCGTACCCATTTCAAATGGTTGTGGAACGAAGAGAAATGGGTGTGGAACGAAGAGAAATGGGCGTGGAACGAAGAGAAAAGGCCCGATGAAGTATTCTCCCTATGGTCTTTTGTACTAACGACGAACGGCGCTGCAGCATGAAGCAAATATCCTGGATCCCAAATCGGTGTTGACACGTTGCTTTTGTTGCTGTATCTGCGATAGCAAGAGGGTGATGCATAATTAAATCCAAGCCAGTATTGTATATCGGACACTGATAATGATTTTTCGGTCGTAGCGCGTGTCGTTTGGCACGTATTGCATTCAAGATCTTTCTACTTCATCGTTTTCCTACTATCACATTTGTGGAAGGATCGACATATTATGCGGCTATCACCCTTTCAAGATGTGAAGCTCGAGACAAGACTGTAAGGTTTGAACCACTCACACCAGGAAGGACCCCTGCTCTTTTTCGTAACTGTTGTGCTCAAGGTGTGGCTCTCCTCAAACACGGGACCTCCGGCTTTACGTCCTATCAGAGAGGACGTCCCTAACCGAAGCTATGCGTGGAGTGGAGTGAGGAAATAGGTGTTAAGTGCCTTTCCCAAAGGCACAACACCGGGGCCTGCCATGCCAGGGATTCGAACCCCGGACCTTCGGATTCAACAGCCCTGACCACAAGATCACCTTGCCTTGCCCAGTGGTGTGGTTTGTCATGAAACGCAAGTGTTCACGTACACACCAGGTGAGTTCTGCGGCATGTACTTGACCCTGACAAGTTCAATCTTTAGCAGTTAGTAGAATATTCCACAATCAGTTACTGTTTTTGAAAGGTAGAAACACGTATTTTTCGATGTCCACTGAACATCTTGATCACGGAGTGACCTATTGGAGGTACGTGTTTCTACCTTTCAAAAACAGTCACTGATTGAGGAATATTCTACTAACTGTTCAACGATATTTATCTTTAGGTTCTTGTTGACTTACCATTTACGTATTCTCGTTCTGTTTTGCTTGTGTTACGTCTTACATAGAATGTTCCCACTGTACTACCAGGTGAACAAACGTGACTTTTATTTATGTGAATTTGATGGAAAAAAACTGAAAACATGTGACTATATAGGGTAAAGAAAATATTTTTTTAATAACTGTAGGATAGATTAGCATTGTAGTATTGTTGATTTGCTGCCATACATTGTACCATGTACGATTGTTGAGCAATGAACGACATTCATTCAATCTGACATATCTGACAGGCAGCATTTGGATGAAAAGTGGGACTCTTCGTCATTCCTGTAGCCTCGCTCCCAGTGATGTTGAGATACTGCCGTCCGGCCTTCGTCGCATTCGTTGTAATTACCGCCGTTGGCACCATCATCTTCTCACACAGCCTGCTTAAGAGGTAAGAGAACACGTACGTTCTGAATTAGACCTCTGAATTTTTATGTGAAATTTTAACGTTAACCTTTAACATCAATAACATTTAACATCAATTCGAACAAAAAGAAATGAATTTTTTAAAAGCTGACATTGCGTGAATGTGATGACGATGTGTAACTCAAATTATTGGTCACCTTGGTGACTTGAATTTACATGTAACTAATGATAAAAAGACTGAACCTAGATGCACAATCGTAATGTATCATGAGCTGATTGAGTTCTTTCTAGAGATATTTTGTAATAGTTAATTAGGTTACATGTTAAAAGAATTGCGCCACAATGACACTTCTATCTGTAAAGTACCAACATTTGGAAGAGATTGTTATGGTTTGCAGTATGCAACATATTTGTATTTCTACAGCAGTGCTGTCACAAGCCTTCCGCAGCGTCTGATACACAACAGCCAATCACCGGCGGCCACGTCATCATCCATAATAAGGCGGCCACAATGCAAGGAGAGGAAGCGGGTTGCCTTCGCTAAGAACCACAAAGTGGGCGGAGACACCGTGAAAAACATTCTCAACCGTTACGGCTACGTCAGGAATTTAAATTTCTTGCTTCCTCGTTCCTTCGTGGCCAGTTTGACGTACCCGTACAGTCTTTACCCAGAATTCTACATGCCTGCTCCTCCGAATCAGACCTTCGACATGTTGGTGTACCACACGGTGTACAACAGAACACGGTTCCGACAAATCCTCCCCAAGAACACTGTCTATCTCACTATCATCCGTGAACCCTTAAGTCATCTTAAGTCCATCTGGAACTACTACGGACTCCAGAATAGATTCCTCATCAAGTCAACCGGTGAGCATGCGATTTTGACGTTTCTCAACAACCCGGGAAGATATGACAAAAAGTGTGGTCATGGCCGCCATGTTCCCTACTGTCTTACCCAGAATTCCGTGTCCGTCGACCTTGGATTTCCCGCCACAAACAACAAACGGGTGACTCTGGGTTGCGACGCGGACCAGAGAGAGCTAATCACTCAGAAATTTCTGAGAAAAATCCACGACGACTTTCATTTGGTCATGATCATGGAGTACTTCGACGAGTCGCTAGTCTTGCTGAGGAGACTGATGTGTTGGACGCTACAGGACATTCTCTACTACAAGGCCAACGTCCGCCATTACACTACCAAGAGGGCACAAATTCCACCCGAAGTCAGACAGATCCATAAAGAGTGGAGCTACGTGGACTACTCTCTCTATCACCACTTCAACCGAACCTTTTGGAGGAGGGTACACTCAGCCGGCAATGATTTTTGGGGGGAGGTGAGATATTTTAGACGCATAAATCAGAAAATGAGAGAATTTTGCGACCTCGTCTCACGTCTGAACCCGTGCCCTGTCTCACAGACTTTGGTCGTGAATGACACAAGATGGAGTCCTGGATTTACCATAGATCGCGACTTCTGCCTACTGGCGAGAAGAGACCTCAGTTGCTACTATTCACTCCAAACCGAGCGAGCAGCAAAAACTCTGGGACTAAACCGTAGCAACCTGCACCTGTACGGTGGCAGCGGACCGAGAAACGATTTGCAAAGGCCTGTAACTATATCAGAATCATTGAAAAGGTTGAACAAAACGGGTAGCAGAAAAGATGAAAATTTTCATGAAAGGGTGCACAAACTCCGTGGACAAGACGTGGCGGGACGACACTGTCTGTACTGTAGCCTGGGTAGCTGTAGAGCGCTCGACTACTTGACTCATTTCTACAAGGATGGGCATATCAACAGCGACACCTACCGGGCCGTCATGAGAAGGATCAACATAAAATTCGCCGAACGATGTAACGCAAAGAATCCAACACAACCATGAAGTTCGGTCTTGAAGTACCCCTGGACAAGTTTCTGCTAGCGGATTTATATAGTAAAAATGTGGCTTTACACCACTCTCCATACATTATTTATCCCATTGTCACGACCAATACGTAGTCCAAACTGTTACAAAATGTGCTTGTACATGTCGATATCACAATAAACAATGTTGGGTGGTTTTGGTTTTGTTTGTAATGTACGAGTTGAGCTTGCCTGTCCTGCCTAGCCTAGGTGGGTGGGTGGCAGATATTTACCTTCGCCAAGAAGGTTATGTTTTCAGGGGCGTTCGTGTATGTGTGTGTTTGTGTGTGTGTGTGTGTGTGTCTGTCTGTAAACACGATAACTTGAGAAGGCCTTAATGGATTGTCTTGATACTTGGTAGGTGGGTAGGTCTTGATGAGACCTCAAAATGATTAGATTTTCGGACCCCCTAGCGGCTTGTTATGGTACTGCAGCTGAACTCCCGGTTTTGATATCTCATGATCTAGACATGCTATGGTGATGGAATTTGGATGGTAGGTAGCTCTTGTGCTGGGGAAGAAGCGACGTGGGTTTAGGCCCCCTAGCGGCTTGCTCTGGAACTGCAGGGATATATTCTTGAAAATATTCAAAAGGGGATAACTCAAGAACCAGTGGACGGATCGTCATGATTTTTGGTATGTAGGTAGCTTACGTGATGCTTAATATAATTATGTGACAATTATGCAAATATGGATGTAATTTGCATAATTTATGGGGAAATTCTATAAATCACCTGCATTCCATGATAGGACAATTGAAGCTTGTGACATTGGTAATTGACAACGAGAAAAACACAGGAAGATATTGATTATGTTAATAATGACTTAATTTGCATAATTAATGAGAAAATTTTATAATTATGTAATGATAACTGCCTGGAATTTCATACTTGTGGTATTTGAAAGTTAAATTGAGGTGAACATCATTGAACATAATTTATTCAAATCAGGACTTCATTTGCATAATTTATTATGAAATGCTAGAATGCATTGTTTGTTAATATAAGACTGTCTTTTGGTTGAGATTATGATAAAAATGATATAATTCATGAAAATTAAGTTCCTATTTCTTAAATCAGGGGGGAATAATCTAATCTACAAATGTATAATTTGTCAGTCATAAAGATTAACATCATTTGGCAAAGGTATGAGATCGGGGAACTCTAGTTATTTATCTATTACGGGGTGTGAGGTATGCGACTTCCGTGGATCGCGGTTCTGCAATGTTAATGAATGAATGAATGAAGACCTTTAGTTTAGTGTACATTTTTTACCCCACTGGGATAACCACACAGGTCACATGATTACAATCACATTTTACTTAAAATATGACCGAAAAGTATGCGTCTATCACTGTCGTACAAAGGAAAATCTACGATAGAATGTACTTCGTCCTCTCTACTTTACGTAGATTATACTATTGGCAGATTCTTTGCCCTGTTAATATGAAGACGCCCATGCGTTCTGCATGACTGAACAGAGCTCTAGACGCCTCAGGCATCGTCAGGTCAAGCCAGTGCCCCAACTGGAGCCACACAGTTACGCACGCTTTCTCAGTAACAGTCGGCTTTTAGCCTCCACCAGGCCTTTCTACGGGAATACGGATCGTATGATTCGGCAAAAAAGAATTGGCCAAGGGAGTCCGGCCGCGGGGGGTAGTTTCTTTCCTATGACTGCGCGGCCTGTCAAACCTACAAGGCGGCCAAACTCCCCTGGCAATTATTCTCCTATATATAGCCAGCGTAGTCCATGGTCTGGTTGAGACCGTACTCGTCTTTCGTGTTTCAATTAGAAAGGCTGACTTCACGTTGGTTTTGAGATTTTTGTGGATTGTAGTGTCCTGTCGACATACTGGTAGGTACGAATTCTTATGTGTTTTCTTCTTCTCTTCTATGTTAGCATAGATATTGTTGTTTTTGTGTCAAATTAGGGCAAACCGCTACGAAGCCAATCAATGCCGAGTCATTAGTCTTTTGTGTCGTCCATTTTGTTTTTTTACGTCGTTGCTGGACACAAGTTGTCAGGTCAGTTGAAAGATATCGGTGGTTAACTTTTACGTGTAGCAGGTTGTCTGTGGCAGGTGTTTGTACACACAGAGCCTAAAACTTTGCTCTGAATATCATTAAATCAAATTTCATAGTTGATTACATGCATGTTTATGACAATATATATGTCAGAGTAGAAATCCCTGTTACCTGCTCATTGCTTTGTAATATGGGTCAACATAAAATTCTCTTCAAGAAGACTGATTTCATTTTCACAGAATACATGTTGGGCCAAAGTCGCAGAACCTTTTTTGCCCTTCTCGTTTTGACAGCTGTCAGCACATTGCTGTACCTTCATGTCCTGCTTACAAGGTGAGAAACTGTTTATCATATGCATGTAGTCGATAAAGCCTAATCTCCAAGCAGATCATACGGTGGCAAGGCAGTATTCATTTGTCAGAGGAGTGTCCATTAGCCACCGAAGGTGTAAACTCCTCTGGCTAATGGACACTGTCTTGCCACCGAAAGGGATCTGCTTGGAGATTAGATAAAGCCCCTGTCACACGTTCACGAATTTGGCCACCCGAACACTAGCCGAACGTCCCCCAACCATGGTTAGGAGTAGGTCGGCGCAAAGTCGGCTGGTGTTCGGCAAATTCGGCTACTAATATAAATTCGTCTGCACCAGTCGCATGTTTAAAAATGTCTGAAACTTTCGTGGGCTGGTCGGGAGGTTCGACAACTCTCCAAGCAGAGGTTGTGGGGAAGCTTGTGACCTTTCTAATATTAGTATGCCCTTTTTTCTGTCCCTACTGGAGAAACATTTTGTTTCGTCCTAATGGTACATAATCCAGCTTTAACGATGTTTCTTTAAGTTTCACCAACTTTGTAATGACGTCGTCACGCATTTAAATGAATTCCATCCTCCAGACATCATGACCGAAATCATTCATTGGCTAGACGGCAAATGGGCGTGGTCGTCAGAGGCAACGCATCCTCACTATTCAACCAATCATTCTCCAGACATCATGACCGAAATCATTCATTGGCTAGACGGCAAATGGGCGTGGTCGTCAGAGGCAACCCATCCTCACCGTTCAACCAATCACAGCCATCCACGTCATCAGTACCGTGGCCGACGTGTACAGAGAGGAGGCGCCTCGCTTTTGCTAAGAACCACAAAGTGGGCGGAGACACTGTCAAGAGGATCTTCGATCGATACGGGTACGTCAGGAAACTGAACATGGTCCTCCCACGTTCACTTGTGGTGAGTGGCATGTATCCGTACAAACTGGACCCGAAGTCCTACCTACCACCACCTCCCAACCAGACCTTTGATATGCTGCAATACCACACTGTATATGAAAGAGAACGGTACAGAGAAATACTCCCAAAGGATACTGTTTATCTGACTATCATTCGTGAACCATTAAGTCATTTCAAGTCCACTTGGAACTACTACAAACTGCAGAAAAGATTCCATATCGAAGATAGTGGACAAGACCCCATTCTGACATTTCTGGCCGACCCAGGCAAATATGACAAAAAGTGTGGCCATGGCCGCCATTTTCCCTACTGTTTTACCCATAATGCAATGTCTGCTGACCTCGGATTTCCGGAAACGACAAACAAGCGAGTGGTTCCCGGATGTGACCCGGAGGAGAGAGAGACCATCACCCGCGAATTTGTGCAAATCATCGAAGAAGACTTTGAACTTGTCATGTTGACGCAGTACTTCGACGAGTCGCTAGTCCTGCTGAAGCGACTGATGTGCTGGTCTCTAAAAGACATCCTCTACTTCCCGATCAACACTCGCAGCTACGCAAACAAAGAGACACAAATCCCACCCAAACTCCGACAGAACCACAAAGAATGGAGCTATGTAGACTACGCTCTCTACGATCGCTTCAATCAAACCTTTTGGAGGAGGGTAAATTCAGAGGGCAACGATTTCTGGGGAGAAGTGAGATATTTTAGACATATCAAGGAAAAAATGAGAGAACTGTGCAATGGTTACAAGTCGAGTAAACAATGCTCTGTTTCTTTCTTGTATTTTAAAGATTCTAGGTGGGGTCCAGGGTTTAGATTAGACAGGAACTTCTGTATGCTGGCAAAGAGAAGTCTCAAATGTCATTTATTGCTTGAGTCTGAACACGCAGCCAAGGCACTGGGTCTGAACCGTTCCAACATTACCAACTATTCAGACGTCGACTTTACACTTTTCCAGAAAGCTGTAAAATCGAGAAAAACACAAAAATCGAGAAAAAGACAAACAGAACAGAAGACTATTGATGTGGTTTTAGATAATTGCGCCTACTGTAATATGAGAAACTGTGGACCATTGGACTACCTGTCGCACTTCTACCATGAGGGTGATATAAACAGCGACACCTATCATGCAATTGTAAACAGGGAGCATCCAAACTTTGTCAGACAATGCAATATTAAAGGCTAACAAAACAATTTCACAGCAGTAAGAATTAGGGTTTAGTTTTGATAAGGATCTACAATTATCATCCACAATTATTAGGATACTTAGTTGTCATTCTTTCTGTGGTCCTACACTGATAAATGCAACACTGCATGACACACATGAAAATAAACTATATACAAGATATAGATACGCTGATATTTTAAAAATAGATAAGGAATATAAGAGATAACATGAGGTCCATATACACCAAATGTAACATGATTATTGGACTCTCACGACTTCAGATCATTTCGGGTGTTAGACATTCTGTATATACAGAAAGTGTTTTTTTCTCAGCATGTTGGGTTTCGGAAGGCTGATGATTTCGATGATCTGTGTTGATATTCATCATGTACATGTACATACATTATGCCTTTCTGGTCTGAAATTTCGTACCCGAATGGCTATGCTACCAGCCTAACCGGTTTGACAGCTCACCATGTTATCTTGTCACGTGTCTCTAACTAGAGTAGATTTAATCAGCTTGATGTCAACGGATCAAACCAGTTGGAATTCCTCAACACGTGCATTTATGTAGAAGCAGAGCCAACATTCTGATGTAACAGATGCTGAGGAGGGACAAGGAGGTGCAGATCGAGCTAGGGCAAGGAGAAAATCTAAACTACTAGTACCAGTTAAAATGTAAGTATACACGTACCGACCCTCTTTGTACAAGGTACATGTAATACTCTCAGACAATCGTAGGTCTTCAGGCTACATACATAACTCCTAACCAAGACAGACAATTCTAGATCTAGATACAGTACCTATGAAAGGTTAACTCGGGGCTCGAAAATACTTGTTTTGCATACCTGCACTGGTGCATACATATGTTGAAAATTACCTGCACCAGACAAATTTTTGACTAGTTCTGTCAGTTCATTTTAGGCCCTTTTCCCACTTTATCCAGCTTCGATCCGGATTAAAGCCGGATTAAAGCGAATCTATTCGGCTCGATTCAGGCAATTTTATCCTAGTGGGGAAATGGCAATAGATACGCTGAAGAAGAGTGGTGAATGCCACTCAAAACGCTGGAAGTAATCTCAGTAATTTATCCAGTATTAGAGTTTGAATTGTCTTTGAACATGTTCCCGTGTTTCCAGACTGACTGCATGTGTACCATGAGGCGACTTGACCGTGCTTTCTTCAGCCTGGTGGCCCTCGGCGTAGTCTACATCTTCATATACTCCTGCGAGGTACTACAGGGTCCAAGAAGGTATTACAGTTCAAATCTTCATACTTTCCTTACATATCTGCCCCAAAAGACCACAACTCACAACCAATACATTTCGACGAAGAGTACAACACATCTGATACACTATGGCCAAAGTGCACTCCAAAGAAACGGATTGCATTGTCTAAGAACCACAAGGTCGCCGGAGATACTGTTAAGAACATCTTGCACCGGTTTGGTTACGTTCACAACCTAACCTTCCTTCTGCCAAGACCGTTCATGCCGAGTAGAGCTTACCCTAGAAACTTTTCTTCAGAAGTGTTCATGCCCGTGCCGAACACCACCCCGGCGGACATGTGGGTGTATCACGCGGTGTATGACGGCGACTGGCTCCGCGCACGCCTCCCACCCGACACCGTCCGCCTCACGATCATCAGGGAGCCTCTAGCGCACTTCAAGTCCGTTTGGAACTACTACAACATACAGAGGAGGTTTAAAATTCCAGGGAACGGTACAGACTCCATCTTTGCTTTTCTGGAGAATCCTCTGAAGTATGACCAGCGGTGTGGGCACGGTCCGCACGCTCCACTATGCCTCACGCTAAACTCCATGGCGGTGGACCTCGGCTTTCCAATAGACTCGAACAAGAAAGTCCTTCCCGGTGGAGACCACGAGGAGAAAGAACGAATTACCAAAGATTTTGTCGAAAAGATCAGCCAAGAGTTCCCACTGGTCATGCTCACCGAACAGTTCGATCTTTCTTTGATACTCCTAAGGAGGAATATGTGCTGGTCTCTTAAAGACATTCTTTACTACAAAGTCAACAGTAGGCAGTATGACTACAAGGAAGTGGACATCATAGGGAGTCACAAACAGGCTCACCGAGAATGGAGTTACGTGGACTACGCTCTTTATGACTTCTTCAATAGAACGTTTTGGGAAAGGGTTTCGAAGGAAGGTGACAGCTTTTGGGACGAGGTGAAATTCTTCAGGTACGTCAACGAGAAGATGAGGGAACACTGTGATGACATTGTGTGGGGAAACGCATGTTCTCGCCACGGCTCGAGTTTGGTAGTCTCTGACACAAGATGGGGGCCAGGGTTCACCATTGATCGCGAATTCTGCTTACTGGCAAAGCGGGGACTGGTGTGTCACTACTCCATCCAGGCCGAGAGGAACGGGAGAATGCTGAGCATGGCACCACATTCGGGTACTGATACGTTACAGGCCATTCGGAGGGACGCGGTGTACAGAGAACACTGTGTGTACTGTAGGACTCAGTGGTGCCACCCTCTCGACTATCTAACGCACTTCTACAGGGATGGCTACATCAGCCGCACTGAGTACATGTTAGCGAGAAGAAAGAACTTTCCTCGCTCGCTGAGGAAGTGTCGACTTCCGCCCAAAGTTCTGTCACCATCCGATAGATACCTGCACTCTGTATGATCCCACCTGTCGTCTGTACCCAAATTTGCGACTTAGCAAGATCCGCGGCTTCTGTGACATCAGGTTATGTAGATGGCACACGTGATTCGGTGAGCAGTGAATCATAGGTTGCAGAAGTCTGTGGCGCCCCCCGTCTCTGTTGAGGATGGCTGTGACTCTCTAATGCCCTGATGTAGATGGCCTCTTTAATACCTCGTTCAAAGAAGTCGATTTCAGAATGACTTCTAGAACTCTACCAACACAGGTGAACTTTCAAGATATACTATAGGTTAGTAGTCATGTTACAATTTTTGTCCATCCAACTATCTGTTTAATACTGTGAGTCAGCATATCGACAGAAATGTTGTTTACATAACCAAGTTCAAGGTAGCACTGGATATACGATTTATGAATTGCAATAAAAGTTATAAAGTCTCCAATCACCGTATCTGGACCGTACATTGATATCTCAAATGTATACATTGTAGTCAAAAGGCATTTGATTGAAGCATATCTAGTACCATGAAAAGAGAAGGGTAGATATGGAGATTTGTCAGTTACGTGTAGCAAACAGTAGACCAGGTAAGTTCGTCATGTAAAACCCTCTCATGACCCACTCGTTCCCCTCACGTCCGTCACCATGGAGACAGGAACCGGTTGGGTAGGAAATGACGTCACGGGCCAAATATGCTCTCCAAGCAGATGTTGGTGGAGAGGATGCTTTCTATCACATGCCCCGTTTTCTGTTCCTACTCTCCACCATGGCTACTGAAACCGGTGCATAAGATAAAAAGTTTAGATAGAACATTTCACAGAATTAAAATATAAATAAGAAAACTTTATGCTGCCCCACTTGGTGTCAGTTGCCTCTACTATTATTATAAAAATAGCCAGAGTTTGATCATTTCATTATTAAATCTCCAAGTAGCCTTACTTACTAGTGGCATATGATGTTTTTTGCATTTTTATTTACCACTGTCATGGCCTTTTTATGTTTACCGAAGGAAAACATATTGTTTTTACTCAGTTTCTTCCTCTTCTGTTCCAAACACTAACCTCGCTGACCTGGCCAATGACATGATTTGTTGATGTCTGTCACCATGGTGACTGGTGTTGGGTTACATAATGTTGCAATTTCATGGTATGCTCTGCTCCTGTCACCATATGTACTAGTAGTACATGTATGTGAATGTGAGTACGAATTAACAGAGCAGACCATGTCCAAAGGTAAACATTATGCATTTGATTTGCAAATGTTACGTCTCTAGTTTATGTTCATTTTTTGCCCACTGTCAATTGCCACCAATTAATCAGTTCTACCTTTTTGTACGTTAGAAATACATTGTAGACCAGACATGTACTTATTCCCACGCCTAGTAGAATGTCCCCAGGCTTTTTAATTGGCTTCACGTCACTCTGAATGAAGACATGATTCAATGACCGACCTTGGTCTCGCCTATACCAGTGTCTCACCGATCTAGGCCACATCATGTGATTCGACGCCTCAAAAACGTTGATCCATACATGTATACATAGGTAAGGCTTTTATTTTTCCAGGGCATGAGTTCTATTTTTCTCTTGTTGACTTGGCCTACATTGAAGAGACCCTTTTGCCTCGAGTGCGGGACAAAAATGGACGCTAAATACGTTTAACAACGGTTGGGTTGACAGGATAATGCAAGACATATAAATTCTCATTATTTTGCAAAGAATTTCTCGGAACTGAGTGATAGTTTCTGCATATACGAATATTTTCTAGAGCCTATTTTCTAGAGCCATATCTATGCCAGAAAACAGACGCGTGGTCGAGGTGTCATTTCAATGACCTTGGAACACACAATCTGTAATTTACTATGTCGAATGGCAAGTGGTTATTTAGACTGGGCGTTGTACAAAAGACAAATATACTACATGCATACGTACAGACAGCACATAGGTTTGAGTGTGGATACAAAAGGTAGTAGATTTCTTTTCAATGGACTTCAACTTTTACGATTCGTAAGGCAAGCTATGTCACTAGCCAGTGACCACGTTTGTACTACTAAGTACTAGTCCTTTTTTCCACGTATATATTTCTTCACAGGTTGTATGACGAATCTTCACCACAATGGCTCGTAAGAAAGACCTGAGATTTCTCTCCTGTCTCGTTGTATTCATGGTCATGTGCCTGGCCATGTACTTGGTCATACTGAGTCAGCCAAAAAAGTAAGTCATTCATATGATTTATAATGTACATAACGCAGTTATACATGTATATAGGCTCACAAGGCTGTTAGAATGAAACCGTCGAAATCATTAATTTTGACCATAATTTGGGATTTTTTCGGAAAGGTTTTATTTTTGCAGTGAAAAGAGTACTGTACGTGGTTCAAATGGTAGTATATTGTTGTTTTGAATCGTCATACGGGACGGTATAATTCTATAGCCATAAGAACCCGTCGGACGACAAGCGACTCCATATTGAGGACAAAGGTCAGATCGGTGTCAAACCCCTGACGTGGGCAGTTCACGTTAATTATAGCCTCTACCAGGCTTCAGAAGCGGCTGGGAAGAGTAGAAATTGGCCAAAAAGACGAATAACATGCCAGGGGAGTTGTTCCGCCAAATTAGGATAGTGGGCAAACTGTACTCCTTTAGCGGACCAACTCCTCTAGAATATTTTCTGCCTATTTGGTCAATTTCTTCACTCTTTCAAGCCGCTTCTGAAGCCTGGTAGAGGCTATCCCTTTATTACAGCAGAAGTATGGTTTCACGGATTTTGAAATCACTTCCAGACAAGTACAGTTACAAATTCACCATTTGTTTTATTACTTGCACAGCTGACTGCAGTATTTGGTAAAAGTTTAGGTTAGAATTATCAGTCAGTCAAACCTGCCCAAGGCGACCACCCAGGGGACCGAACAAAAGCGGTCACATTGAACAGGTGGCCAGCTTGAAGAGGTGGTCGCCTTGGACAAGCTTGTGCAAGGCGTTTGAAAATTTTCGCCAGCAAAGCATTTTTCATTTGTTGACAATTATTTGTGTTATATTCCAGGCACGGTCACAAACCGTCTAAGAAACACCTCATCCATAAAAAGTCGCGTTCAGAGAGTCAGCCGAGCCCAGCAAGCTTGTCGCACAACAACAATGTCCTCCCCCAACAAAAATCACATCCTCAACAGTGCACAGAGAAGAAGCGGATTGCGCTGTTGAAAAATCACAAAGTCGGAGGCGACACGGTCAAGAACATCCTGAACCGATACGGCTACAACAAGAATCTTACCTTCCTCATCCCTAGAAGCTTTGCTCCGAGCTTAGCTTATCCCTACAATCTCAACCCGAACACGGTCATAGGCCGCCCTCCCAACAAAACATACGACATCTGGGTCCACCATGCGGTCTTCGAGAGAGACGTCTTCAGGAAATATTTTCCGAACGATACCGTCTTCTTAACCATCTTAAGGAATCCGCTGAGTCACTTCAAGTCAGTGTGGAACCACTACCAACTTAGGAAGAAATTCGGCATCCCAACGACTAAGATAGACTCCATTCTTATGTTCCTGCGAGAGCCGGCTATATACGATCCTATATGCGGTCACGGGTCACACGAGCCACTGTGCTTTACACAAAACTCCATGGCCGCCGATCTCGGCTTTCCACTGAAAGACAACGAAAAACTCCAGTCATTAAAAAGCGAGAAGACCAGAATGGCGATGGCTCAAAAGTTTGTACAGAGAATTCAAGAAGACTTCCCGTTTGTCATGATTATGGAATATTTCGATGAATCCTTGGTGTTACTGAAACGAATGATGTGCTGGTCTATGAAGGATATCGTCTACTACAGCGTCAACTCTAAGAGATATTCGTACAAGCACGTCGAAATCGAGGGGAAAGACAAGGAAAGACACGAGGAGTGGAACTACGTGGACTATGCCCTCTACGACCACTTTAATAAGACGTTTTGGCAGAAGGTGGGAGAGGCGGGGAACGGTTTCTGGGAGGAGGTCCGTTTCTTCCGGATGGTGAACGAGAAAATGCGAGATCACTGCGCCGCTTTGATCCAGAAGGGTGCCCCGTGTTCTCGGTACGGAGCTACGCTTGAAGTCAGCGACACACAGTGGGGACCAGGCTTCACAATAGATAGGGAATTCTGCTTGCTAGCCAGGAGGGGACTGAGATGCCATTTTACATTACAAGCAGAGAGGTTAACTAGAGCTCTCGGTCTCAGAAGCAAAGGAACACACAAGAGCGCTCTAAATGCAGCAGAGAAGGAACTAAACCGCCACTGTAATTACTGTCAACTTAAGATTAGGTGTAACAAGGAAGACTACTTGGCCCACTTCTACAGAGAGGGTTATATCAGCGCACGGCAGTACGGTGAATTCAAGAAAATTTCCTTTCCTAAACTTTCAAGTTGTTCACTCCCTCCTACAGTACTGAGACCGGAATCCCAACAAAAATTAACTCGATAAGAGTAAATACTCTTCTTATAAGAGCGTAAAAGGGTAAAATAAATTAAAACTATTAAACCTAATAAAATATAAATAAAATGAGCAGATGTATGAGCAGATTAGGTATATGTTTATGCTATATGAATACATATTACTACAAAAACACACATTCGATTCAAAAGTCCATTCATGTTGTAAAATTAAGTCTATTTACGAAGAATCAAGCTCTAAGCTATGGGAGAGAGTGGGTGAGCTCTACATTTGGGCCTGGCGAAATGTGTACGTACTGCAGAAATCGTTGCCATTTTTAGAAACCAACGTATCCGTCCGTGGCGACATTCAGTTGTGACGTCTGCGAATGACAAGTTTTTTTATTATTTCCCAGACGAGACAAGTTGCACGTGTTACATGACTAGACGGTCTGTGCTACACGTACTACCTACTACACACATTATTACCAAAACATACATGTACGTCATGGTATGACGGACACCGTCTTCACATTCCAATGCAGCCGATTCGCACCGTCACTCTGAAAGCTGGGAACTATGCAAACCCTAGCCTCCATAGCATGCCAAAAACTGGGGGGTTTGGGGGCCCGGGTCTTCATGGTCTTTGGGAGCTTTTATGTGCTATTTTCTGATTGCATATAGACAACATAGCCGGCCTGGTTGAATTAAACCCGTTTTTAGAACTGGGCTGATCAGAAAACAGCCGCCACCAAACCTCCAGTTCTATAAGCCTGTTACGGAGGCTATGCAAACCCAAGCCTAATCGTTACGGACGACAGAGAAAAAATATGATTGAATTTGTTTAACGCGACCGTAGCTTTCTTTTACACAACACGCACCCAGACCCGAAACTAGTAGTGTTTGGTAAAATCCTGTCACACATAGCCAATCAGTGGAACACTGCCAACCAGCAAACGAACCTAAACCCCCTCCCACCCAACCATGGTTAGGAGTAGGTCGGGAGCAAGGTTGGCTATGGATGGTTGGTGTTCGACGAGGTTGGGTACTTTTCGGCTACGCCAGCTGAGTATATGTTTCAAAATATCTGAAACATTCGGCTGTGGGCTCTAAGTGTGGACGGGAGGTTCGGCCATGGTTAGCTGATGGTATTCGGGAGTAGGCCAATAGTGTTGGGGGGTCAAATTTGATTTCAATTTGACTCAAATTTGATTCGATTCATGTAGAAAGGTAGTCGTGGCCTACATCTGGTCAGACTGCTCCCGAACGTCAGCCAACCTTAGTTGGTTGGTGGCCGGGGAAAGGTTCTGACTGTGTGTGAGAAACAGGAGCGAGCTCGAGTAGAAACAGATAAAAATCCCTGGTCCCGGGCCGGGGTTCGAACCCACGACCAAACCCGGGCACCAGTCCACATGCCGACGCTCTAACGATTCGGCTAAAAGGTCTAGACCCATATATTGGCCGGGTCAGTTGGTGGCGCCTATGAATCGAACCCCCCACTGTTACATGTATAACAGGGGCTTAATAAAGGACATAACACAGACAAATCTTCAATAGAACTACTAACCCCAATTATCAGTAACCATGGATAGGATACAAACAAAGCCTCGGGCCTACATGTATAATCACTGGCCTAATGCAAAACTAATTACTAGTCTTCAAAAACGCCCTCTAAACCACGCACATGTTGTTTACACTGTCCTATATTTCTGATTTCATCAGGCGAAGTTTAACGTCAACACTTGTATGTGACGTCATACAGGTGTTTACGTTTACTCTGGTCTACTTCCGCTGAAGCTCTAGTCAGCAGGACGGGCGTGTAGAAAAGATTTTGCGCTTAGCAGTGTTTATCTTGTGCGAGCTGGAACTGAGCTGGGAGTTGAGCTAGGATTCATTTTGTAGACTGAAAAACTGGTTTGATGACTGTAGCTTGCATGTCCGACTCGCCCGGTAGACTGTTTTTCGTGTGACATTTGGTATTTTCACCTCGCTCAAAGCAAACAGAGAAGCCTTTCAGTAACTCCACACTTCTTCACTTCACGGAATTCTGCCAGCGGTGACTTTTGACCCCGCAATGAACAATCGGCGACCGGTGCGCTCTGACACCGAGAGGATGGCGTCCAACATTCTGTCCCATATCACGGAAGAGTTTCTTGTCTGTCAGATATGCCTGGAAGACTACGATCGGCCGAAGATACTCCCGTGCCTGCACACCTTCTGTCAGGGGTGCTTGGAGAAGCTACCGGCGGGCAAAGCTGCGAAAGGGCCCGGGAGGATTTCCTGTCCCACCTGCCGACAGAGCGCGACCCTTCCCAAAGATGGCGTCCGCGCCCTGAAAGACAACTTCCTAGTTACAAAACTGAGCGACGTGATGAAGCAAACGTCAGATTCGGCACAGGAGGGGCTGGGAGAGGCCCGCTGTACGACGTGCGAGGTGGATGTGTACGCTACCTCGTACTGCGTAGACTGTCCCGACTACCTGTGTCAAACCTGCGCGACTAGCCACTGCCGCCCCAAGCCTACGCGGTCGCATCGAGTCGTCACTCTGAAGGACCTGAAGTCGGGGAAAGTGCTAGTGTCGGCGAGAACGGCCGAGCCTTCGAAGTGCTCGATTCACAAGGAGGTGCACAAGTTCTACTGCGAGACGTGTCGCCAGGTGATCTGTCTGCACTGTGTGGTCACCACGCACAAGGAACACAGGTACGTGGAAGTAGAGGAAGCGGCGGGGAAGGAGAAATGTGTTATGGAAGGGCTTCTACGTGGCGTGAAAAGAGGCGCCATCCTGCACGACATTTGGTTGCACGAGTTGCGAGAATGCGGGGAAAAGTGGGAGTCGCAAGTAGAGAAGATGACGAAAGACATTGCGAGGCAAGCGGACGCCATCATCGGTACGGTTCAGAGGCTAAGGGACCAGCGTCTCGCCCAAGTTCGCTCCCTCCACGAGGCACGACAGAAACAGCTAGCGTCTGCCACCAACACCGCCGACACACGTCTGACACAAGCAAGAAACACTATCCAGTTTGTAAGCCACCTGTTAGTCAACGGAAACCCGGTCGAGCTTCTGAACGTAGCGGAAGGCGTGAAGGAAGAACTCCTCAAACAATCAGACAAGAACGTACGAACACACCTGTCCTCCACGAAAAGTTTCAAAGAATTAAGTTACAGCCCAGCCTCTCTCGGTCTGGAGGAAGAGATAGCCAAACTTTTGGGTGACTTGAAACAGAAAGACGTGGACGTCGAGGTACCTCCCGTCGCTGGATTGCAGATTAGAGCTAACGCTTCACTCAGTCACTGCAAGGAGGTCAAACTGTACAAGGCGATCGGGAAAGCGGGGAAGGAAGCGGGAGAGTTTGACTCGCCGCTGTGCATCGCCATCACGGGCGGGCAGGACGTCGTGGCTACCGACTACCGCAACAAGTGTCTACAGGTGGTCGACAAGGAAGGAGGCTTCAAGCGGAAGATTGACCTCGGTTTTCAGCCCGAGTGCGTGACGGCGTTGGACAATGGCGAGCTGCTGGTGACGGGAGACGGGCCGAAGGTGCACGTGATGAACAGTGAGGGGAGGGGCGAGCGGGTCATCCACGTGCGGAACGTGGCGGAGAAGGACACAGTCGGCGGCGGGATCGCGGTGGACGGCCTGGGGCGCATCGTGGTGACCGTCGGCTGGCAGGTTGGAGTTTGAATTTACTGAGATACCCTTTAGCCCCTTTAGTGGCTTTATGATACCCTTTACCCTTTAGTGGCTTTATAATACCCTTTAGCCCCTTTAATTGCTTTGAGATACCCTTTGGCCCTTTAGTGGCTTCAAGAATCCCTTTAGCCCCTTTAAAATTGCTTTGAGATACCATTTACCCCCTTTAGTGGCTTTAAGATACCCTTTAGCCTATTTAGTGACTTTGAGATACTCTTTAACCCCTTTAGTGCCTTTGAGCTACCCTTTAGCCTATTTGCTACCCTTTAGCCTATTTAGTGGTTTCGAGATACCCTTTAGTAGCCTTAAGTCTTTAGTTAAGATGCCAAATATCATCACAACCCACAATGGTCTTAAGTTGTACTGACCAAAAGTATACGAAAACAGACACATACACACACACACACTACATTTTTATGTAGGTAATCACGGGAGTCTTTCTTTTAAAGAGATCGAATATTTCAATTTTTTGTGCAAAATATTTGTACATAATGCCCCTTGAAACTTTCACGGTATACTCATAATACTGCATTCCACACCCGGCAGGTGTTCGTGCTGCTGCCGAACGGCACGCCCGTGTGCGAGTTCGGAGATCGGGACTTCGGCTACATCCTCCGAGTCGCCACCGACAGCAGGAACCACGTCATCGTCAGCGACATGCGCAACAACAACGTCAAGGTGTTCGACCCGGACTACGGCATCCTCTTCAAGTTCGGGAAGCACGGATCCGGGGACGGTAAGTTCTTCTTCTTGTTCTTGAGAAGATACTGTCAAGGGTACCAGAGTATACGGTGCAATTTTACGGAATACAGTGCACTTTTACGGAATACAGTACAATCGTATTAGTATACAGTACAATTTTACGGAATACAGTCCAATCGTATCAGTATACAGTCCAATTTTACGGAATAAAGTTGCAATCGTATTAGTATACAGTGCAATTTTACTATTAAAATTGCACTGTGTACTAGTAAAATTGCACTTTATACTAATACGATTGCACTTTATTACGTAAAATTGCACTGTATAATGATACGATTGTACTGTATTCCGTAAAATTGCACTGTATACTAGTAAAATTGCACTGTATTCCGTAAAATTGCATGTATTCCGTAAAATTGCACTGTATACTCTGGTACCCCTGACTGTGCAACACCCCTCTGTTTGGTTAAGACGCACAGCACAGGGGGGAGTGGTTTTTGAATGGGGTAATGTAACATTAGTTTTGGAAGCTATGGATTGCATTAATTTTTGTCTGTTATCTTCATATAAAAGTGGAATTCGTCTTCAATACCCTCCTTGCATGTAAGATGAGTTTCGACCGGTAGGGCTACTTTGTGTTGCCTCGCTTTGTATAATACATGTATTGTGAGTCTGCTTGCTATTCTTCTGTTTCGTAATGTGCCCCACCCTAGGTCAGCTGGATCACCCCATGGGACTGTACGTGGACGGAGACGACAACATCATCGTGTGTGACTCGCACAACCACCGCGTGTCGCAGTTCGATCGGGACGGGCTGTTCGTGAGACACCTGCTGACGCGGGAGGACGGGCTGCACTACCCCTGGGGACTCACGCTGATGCATGACGGGAAGATGGTGGTGTGCGACATGAACAGTAAAAACGGACGCATGAAACTCTTCTCACTGAAATAGAGATGTTATGAGGAATAAACTGTTGTAAAAATCGAAAGAATTTGACGCACCGGAATTTTCTTTCGGTCTTCGCCAACTATCTGAACCAGTTGCTGTAGACAGTTTTTTTTGGCGCATGTGTGACGTCAACATGGGTCAAAGTATGTCGGAAGTCTGTACCGGCCCCCGTCCCGGTTGACTGAGGAGGTTAGTGTGCTGATGTCATACGTGCGAAAACAAAATGAACTGTAGTGCTGATGAAGACTGAAAGATTCGAAAAATTCCGGTTCTTTTGAGTTCCCATGATGTAACTCAGATAAAATTTCTTGTTAAATGGAGATGTTTTTATAAAGGAATGAATAAGTACGTGGAACAACGCCAAGCCAAGGCTCTATAATGTTCAAAGTTACTTATAGTTTTTAGTGTCTTCTCTCTATTATTTAGTTACTAGCGTTGCAATTTGTGGATTAGTGTAGTCTCTTTCTCAGAATTGTTGTTATGGGTTCACCACACCACGAAGTGGTGGTGAACCCATATTGCTTTTTCTGATGTTTCTTCTTCTTCTTCTCCTCCTGCCATTTTTTAAATGGATTCAGCTTCTTCATTTTAGGGACTAAGGTCCTGAAATTTGGTATGGAGGTACAGTGGGCAAATACCCCTTGGCGCTTTTTAAATTTTTGTGATACAGGCTTTTAGAATGGTTTTATTTGAGTTTTTTGGCTGTGTTATAGCAAATGTATTACTGTGTTAGTGTGCCGTGTTTACCACGTCTGGGCATGAGTCATCACAATGGAATGCAGGGCATCAACCAATAGGCATGCAGCTTTCCTCTATACTTCTTGCTGATTGGCTGTTGGGATTTAACTTGATTAACACCTGCACAGAGCATTTCCACCTGCACAGAGCATTTCTTGCTGATTGGCTGTTGGGATTTAACTTGATTAACACCTGCACAGAGCATTTCCATACTGACAGTATGTCTTTATTCAAGTGTTTTGGTAGGTATTTCAAGCTTTTCTGCTCCAGCATTGGAATGCGGGGCATGAACGTTTTTTTTTTTATTTTGAAAATCAACAGTTTGCATTATGCAATTAAAAATCCTAACCAATAAAGTAGGGAATAGCTATCCAACTGTTGTTTTAGTTGTATGTTACTTCATATTATAGTTATATCAATGTAAATCATTGTTTTCCCTTATGTTTCTCATTCTTTCCCTGCCATGTCGTAAAATGTGGTGAACCCATCGCTGTATTTGCTCCAAAGCAAATATTGGCCTTTCTAGTTTTTGCATAGCCTTTACCAGGCCTCAGAAGGGGCTGGAGACAAGAGAAATTGACCACTGAATATGCAGTTGATATGCCATGGTACGCTTTAAGGAGTACAGTTTGCCACTCCCGAAGCCTGGTAGAGGCTAGTTGTTGCCATACACCATAAATCCCACACTTCAAATCACGTTTTAAGACGACCAAAGAATATTTTGTTTGTACATTGTATTTGTATCTATATAGCCGGTATAACCACCACTCGGCGTAACAACACCAGCAACATCCATACAGCCAAATAGCACAGTAAGATATATAGATAATATATACTACTAGTATGTACTGCATATACCAGTAATACAGTGTATGTCTCAGTATTGTATTGACTTCAGTAAACTAGACTTACTCTGCTGACCTTTGAGATGTACCATCAGACATAACATCTTTTGGCTGTTTGCCACAGATAAACAAAGCTTAGGACTGTTACCTAAGGTATTGCACCAACACACGCAGGTACTTGCGTGCAGCCTATATACCCACACCATGTCTTACGCACAAAGTTCACAATGTTATCTATGAAGGCTTGTAGTAAACAACTGAAGCGTTAGGGGATTTACATGAATTAAGCTAACTCTAAAGGTTAGCAATCTGAAATATGTCAGTGTAAACAGGAATTACGTACTATCGGACGTGCACATGTTTTCAAACGTTTGTATATTTTCAATCAATGTATGGAATCACACGTAGCTGTCGTTGTATTTATGATTCTCCAAAGTAAAATGTATTTCAAGAATGTTTCCATTTTCTTTGAAGTCCATGTTGTGGAAAAGAAGCTTTCAAAGCTTTCTAAACAGTTCTGGTAAGTCCAACTATCCCCGACATTACTGATGTGAAGAACCGTCAACAGTTGCCAGGAGATTGGATTTCGTGGGCTAAATTCTGAAGCATCTTAGGGCATACGCCACCCAGGTGTTTCGTTAAGGCACCCAGTGCAATTTCAGTCCGACAAAAAGCAAAAAATAAAGATTCTTGATAAGGAAATCTGTCTTAAATTGACGTTTACTGCTCGAGGGAAGGCATACTAGATACGGCGGTCAGAGTTCTAATAGCCCCCCCCCCCAAAAAAAAGTCGACCGCTCCCGCCCGCAAAGGAGGCTGATTGGCCTGTAGTTAATTTGATTACCAAATTCAAATTTTGCTCATGATGAACAGGTGGCACATAGACTAGCCTATGAAACACGCCATTCCAAGATGGCGGGTGTGCATGGAAAGAACGAACTTTCTGTCCAATTCCGCCCAGGAAGACGCACCACGTCCGCTTTTGGGCGGTAAGTTGAACTTGACTTTGTCTTAGGCACTATCTGTACTAATGTAGACAAAAATCCTTGAAATGAAATGAGGCAAAACACAGAATTTCGAAACTTACGAGCACCAACTCGTCCCCAGGATTTAATGCTGCACTTAGTCAATCAACCGCAGGGAGCGCTGCTGTGCGGTCTGATGAGTGTAACCTCTCGGAATTCGTCGACAAATCTTTGAACACAGGTCAATGAATAGCTTAGATTCGATGCATGTGAGGCTTAAATTAATGATCCTCAAATAGAAAGACGTTTCCATGCGAATTTCCGTTCGTTATTATACAAGATTCTACTTTGTAAACAAACCACAGCGGAGAGTTTTTAACGTACGTAAGCCGCCCGCTCCCGGAACGCTAATTTGCTGGCATTTCTTCGTTTGAAATAGCCCCCAAACAAGTGAGGTGCCCCTTAATTTTTTTGTAACAATAAATAGTTTATTTCTTGCTACCACCAATTGTTTATTTTTTGGTACCACCAATAAATAGGTATTTTTTGGTACCACCAATAAATACATGTAGTTTATTTTTGGTACCACCAATAAACAGCTAGAACCAGCCTATGATACGAAACAAGCAACCATTTTCCGTCACAGATATCAGTATGTTATCACAGGTATGATATAGGGTTACTCCTTAAAAATGACGAGGAAATTGTCTTTGAAAGTCCAGTTTTACTGGTCTGGAATCGCTTTGGTCGCCTTTAAACACCGTCTTGTTTTTCCTTTGCAGACGATGCTTTCACAATTACACTAACTGTTGCTACTCTCTGTCGTATATACATACACACAAGAGCACACACACACATCCTTTCGTCGTATCTTTGCGTTTAATATTCGGCCGACGGCCATCAAAATACATTATCTCTCTTCAATATATACATCGTTTTCAACACAAATAGATGTCGTTCATAATTTCATGACAGGTTCCCAATTAAAAAACAAAAACAAAGAGAAACGGTCCAGAAACGGCTTCTGGAAGGCGTGCTAAATGTACAGATCTACATGTAGTGTTCTACGGAAACTTCAGTTTTATATATCTATTACCTGTCATGTAAAGGTGTTGCATACGACACATGGAAAGAAAGAAGTACCCATACAAGGATAAATTATATATAGTACGAGCGTACGTCTGCTTGTATGGTCTCACGGATGTCTACAGATATTTGAAATATATATAAAGTTGAACTTATAACATTACAGTTGACGTGCCTCGGCGTGGAATAAAAGGTTTCTCTGCTGGAATTGCTGGGGGTCATAACTGAATCTATTTACAAATGGTATATTCTACATCCTGAGATTCAAAAGTTGCGGGAAGTTGCGAAAGTTTGCAGTGTTAAGGCAAAGTTTAGCCTGTACCAGGCTTCAGAAGCTGGAAAGAGAGTAGAAATTTGCCAAATAGACGGATAATATACCAGGGAGTTGGTCCACTAAAGTAGTACAGTTTGTCGCTTCCAAAGCGGACCAACTCCCCTGTCTATTTGGCCAATTTCTGCTCTTTCCAGTCCCTTCTGAAGCCTGGTATAGGCTAGACTGTTATCAGCCGATAGAATGTACAGAAAATCTGATGATGTCTTGTGGGCCCATCGCTTGGTCGCGAGTTATCAGTGGAAATGTCCTTCCATACATACACGTCTGTTGTATAATGACTGATGGCGGGGTTCAATCTCAATTGCTGCAATAATACAATGTCCCGCTAGGTGGCGTTGAAATGTTGCTGAGAGGACACCATCATGACCATGTCATTCCTTCCCACTGAAGATGGCCATTTCTCTTACACAACATGGCACGCCAGTTGGTTTCTTTCTGTCCGAGGAAACTGGCGGATTGAAAGCCAAGTACATGTAGAACACTTGGAAGATCAGATCCAATGGACATAATTCTTTAAGACAGTGAATTCTTTCTTAATGACTATAATTCTGACTTACGAAGTCTTATGTTATTTCTTTCTGGAAGGGGTGGATATAGGCAGGCTTTTCTTTCCCGCCAGGCACGGTAGAATGTACAGGAGTGTTGTTGCAGGTGTTTTTATTTACAGGTGTGTTTGTCTATGATGGTCTCGCAGGTGTTACACTTGACGTAACAGCACCAGACGAACTTACAGCCGCACCTCTCCACGAACCGCACCACCTGCGTGTTGTAGCCCCGCCCACAGCACAGCAGGTTGCAGCTGTCCGGACCCGTGGACGTCCTGGAACAGCAACGGGATAGTCGTTGATGAAGGTTAGACATCAAGGTAAACAATATTCAAAGACAATTCAAAGTCTACTATTTCACTAAGTGGGAATGTGGGCATAGATGAGTGTCAGCAAAATTCCAGAGCTGTGAGACATTCCTGTGAACATGTGCACAAAAATTCCTGTACAATTCCTAGAATTCTTGCTGACTGCACGCAATACTGTACTATTAGGCTCGCCCCTTAGGCGTCACCAAAATAAGCATGTTTCAAGTGACATCCACCACTCTTCTTCAGCGTCACTAAAATGAACTGACAGAACTAGTAAACACTAATCACATTGGCAGTCTGACCAAAGTGCTGTGGACACGTGGTTTGTTTTCGCACGTGTGACGTCAACATTATTTAAAGTGCGTCGGAAGTCGGTACCGCCCCCCGTCTCGGTTAAGAGAAGGTTAGTGTGCTGATGTCATGTGTGTGAAAAAAGCCAACAGTCTGCAACACTTGGGTCAGACAGCTGATAAAGAGGTTTGGTCGATAATTTTAGTAACGTGTACTCAACAACATCTTTCTAGAACACCAAGTAAACTAACACTCTTCTGTTCAGTTGCAGAGAACTCCTACCTGTTGCACTCTCTACCCCTGGTGCCGAAGATCCCACGTTTCTTGTCCGACTTGCAGAAGTTTGGAGATTTCTCAAGATAAACCAGCTCATCGTCACCGATAGGAACCTATGGAGGGAGAACGTCGAAGAAGCTTAGACACCAAGGTAAGAAAATAGTTGAGAAAACTCTTGTCTCTCCTGTCTAGTTTTCCATCTTTTTTTTTTTAAATTTTGTTATACCCCAATTAAAAACGGCCATATATAGCCACAGCAAGCAAATCTTATGGATGACATCCTCCGCAGATATCCAATGCAATGGAGCGCGCAAAAACATGGCGGGCAAGATTCCTACATTTTGAATTTTTGACATCATAAACCTTGTTGAACAGGAATAAAAGGAACGGGTAAAGTTTGACCATGGTCCTATGATAACCATAAACCAACAAAACTTGATGCCACAACCAACAGGTTGTAGAAAAGAGCTTGTGGTACCATCAAGGGCTACTAATACACTGGTTACTCAGGGAAATAAATTGCAATCACGCAAAGACTAAAATATTTCAATTTTTGGTGGAAAAATGTTAAATAATGCCCCTTGTAGAGCCCCTTAAGATGCCAGTGGTTAACGTAAGGTTCCACGTCTGTGCAAGGTCTGCTTATGGTAGGGTTATGCTATGGTATAATAAATGTATCTTTTATTAGGATACCAACTGGTGTTCGATACACAGAACGTTTAATCTTGAAAACTTCTAAAGTGAAATGTTACGGAGTTAGTTACCTTCCGGCTCAGTTTCTGTTTCCGCCGAAGCCTCCGTCTCGTCTTCCGCAGGATGGGGACTGACGTCATGTACTTCTTTTTCAAGAAATCCCCGACCTGGTGAAGGTGATAGCAGATAATATAGTATCATAACTACCGGTACAGATGAACTACCATGGTCCTTAAGTGTGTGTGTGTGTGTGTCTACGTGATCTTGAAAGAGAAAACGGATTGTTTCTACGGATTGTTTGATAGTCTTCAAATATCAGTTATCAACCAAGAATGGAGGTACGTCGGTGAAGGTTAGACATCCAGGTTACGCCAAAAAACAGTTACTCGAGCAACTGGATATGATTTTGTTGACCGTTTCCAAAATCATATCCAGTAACTGTTTTTTGGCAAGAATGGAGGTGTTCAAAAACTCGTATTCCCCAAAAACTATCGTTGCCAACATGTACGTTTAGGGCATCGTCACTATAAATCTTTAAACTACTACTGCAGTTAGATGTGCAAAGGTTGGGTGTAACAAGTGGTTAGGTGTAATATAGCTAGCTGCCACCGCGCCGCGTGCCTGCGAAGCTGGTGTTAGGGTTATACCTGTTATACTGATACAGATACAGATTCATGCGAAACTCACCCGTTTGAAGCTGGGCAACGTTTTCCAGCAGGTCTTGACTGCGCATGATCCGGACACGCCATGACACCTGCACTTGACTGACATCTGCTGCTGTATGGCCTGTAACACACCAGAAAAAAACTTTTAATGGATACATTCTTCATAAACCAAAAGTAGAAAAACAAATGCATAAACATAAGCAGATGCATAATGTTTACCGTCGCATATGGTCACCTCTGTTAATTCTTACTCAAACACATTCATATACTAGTATATGGTGACAGGAGTCTAAATCCCTCCTGCTATAAAGTTGCAACATGATGTAACCCAACACTAGTTACCATGGTGGACAGACTTCTGGTTCAGGTCATTGACCTTATTTGTTTGGAGAAGAAGAAGAGGAAGAAACTGAGCAAAAACAATGTTTCCCATCGGTGAACATGAATAGCTGGCAAAAAGTAGCACAAAGCATGATGACACGTAGGAGTTCCATGAAACGTAACTGTATGAAGTCTGTCTTCCAAATGATTCCTACTATTATAAACTTGTGGTAGTGTGAAGTGGTCATGACTCAGGAGCGTAAACGACATAAGCGGACGTGAACGAGCGCCGCCTGTCAACTTACAACAGAAGTGCAGTATATGCATTCCATTTTCTCTCGTGAAGGTATTTCGCCTACTCAATGGCATCCATACGTAACGCATGTCTGCAGGACTTCACGGAATGTACCCGAGACCTCATTATCGGATAACTGCAAAATATCTGGGAGTATCTTCCATTGTGAAGGCGACTACAGCTAGTTTGTCAGAAAAATGAGTTCCCCTCCCCTGTAAAATTGTCCCTTCAAGCAGGGATCTCCTCTTTATTGTGTGTAACTCTCCCTAAGAATAGCAACACTCTTTCCTACAAATTTAACGGATAAGATTCGTTGTAGAAAAGTTGGGAGGGGCGTCACGAAGCACGATAATTTCTATGGACTCTAAATACACTTGGCCACAACCTCTGATGCCCAGGCCTCGGTGTACAATAGGCGCAAATCGTAGGAATCAACCTGTTAAAAGTTAGCTATTATAAGGTAACAATGCAGCAACCTTAGGCCATATTTAGGACATGTTTAACTGTCATGGTTCCATTCAACAGAGTATTGGGATATCGTAAAGATAGATAAAGCTGGTACTAACCCCCCTAGGTGTTGTTCCGTAATCCTTGCTGGCTTTTACGATAAGCTCGAAAAAAGAGCAATGTCATTATTTTTACGGTGTTTTCGTGGATACGGCATATACACACACAAGTCGGTTCTAGATACCCGGTCACCCGTGTCAAAGACACTGACACGTTAGACTGTGGCAGGAATGTCAGGTATGTGCAAGAAGAGTCATCCCATGATAAAAATGCCGGCTGTTTGTTGTTTATTTATCGAAATAAACAGACCAACGAGGCGTGAGGAATTAGTAATTTTTCTCATAGTTGAGTGCTGAACGTTTATGGCTAATATGATATGCTTACAAAATTGTGAATTAACGTTATACCCATTTTCAAAGTAATTGTTAACGTCACACAACCGACGTCCTTCGAGCTGTATGGTACAAGGGCGAGGTCAAAGCAATCCCAAAATCTAAATCTGGCAAAACAGGCACGCCAAAAATAAGCGAACGGGACAAAGGTCTTTATCCTTGGAAACATTCCTTTGAGATCTTGGTATTTTCTTACCAAACTTAGGTTAAGTCGCAAGAGGATTGCAGGTGTCTTCGGGTGGATTTGGCGACATGTTAGTGTTCCGAGTGCGACCAATGTCAGATGCAATATTCCGAAAACTACGCTGCAAAACGGGACTAGTCTGTCCAGATTTTTATAATAGGTCACGCCTATCTTTCAATATAAATCGAATCGAATTTGAGTTAAACTTGAATTAAATTTGACTCCCTGTCACGCCCAGGCCCCTACATCCAACCACCAGTCAACCAGTTCACAAACATGGCCCACTTCCGAATGGGTTCAACATTTTGAAACATTTGGCTGGCGCGTCCGAACAGTAGCCAATTTTACCAAACACCCGCCACACACAGCTCCCGACCTACTCCCAACCTACTCCCAACCATCTCCCAACCACATCGGGTTGGGAGGAGTTCGGCAGTGATTGGGAGACCATATACATGTACGGCTATGTGTGACAGGGATTTGGGTGAGGGAAAAAGTGTTTTATTCTTAGTAACGACGACGACATAGCCTGGTTACCAAACCTATTATAGCTACCGAGTCCTACAGCCTATCTGCGGAGAGGATGTAGGACTCGGGAGCTATAATAGGTTTGGTAACCAGGCTAACGACGACACCCCACGACACGGTACGACGGTCCGCAGCGGCGCGGATCCTGCCCCTAATGTGTCCCTGGGACAGACGCGACCTTTCCTGGGAACACGACATTTGTCAACATGTGTGACTGTGTATAGTACAAACATGAGGGGACCACCGGCGGACAGAGCAAAACTAGGAGGTCCACGTCTAGCTAGCTCTATACGATTTACCACAGCCTGGTGTCCAGTCTATCGCGGCTGGAATGGCTCTCTTCAGAGCTCAACTGGCCGCCAGTCACCAGACTCCTTTGAATAAATAGTAGAAATCTTTTTAGGCCAATTTCTACTATTAATTCATCCTGCAAAGGAGCCTGGTGGAGACTAGCCAGTCACCGACCGACTGACCAACACATTATACACAAAATAGTGCCAACCAACCAACCAACCAACCAACCAACCAACCAACCAACCAACCAACCAACCAACCAACCAACCAACCAACCAACCAACCAACCAACCAACCAACCAACTGACAAAGATGACAGCACATAACACAATACTGGCGCTTATGATATTGACGATTGCATCTTCCTTTTTTCCATACTATGTCATAATGTTAAGTTGTGCAGTCATGTATTGTATCGTTGTATTCTTGAGTAGAACCCTGTGACTAATCAACCAACCAACAAACCAACCGACTAGCCCTGAAAAGCTTCGCTGCTTGACTGTTGTGAAAACATAAACCCAGAACTACCGCGACGCCAAACGTTGTCTAATGTGTTTTCATGTTTGGACCGTAATAGTGCAGACAGGTCAAGGCTTTATCAGAACGAAGGCAGGAATGGGGATAATTAACCTGGGGGGAACGTCCCTAATTTGCATGTCAGACCCAATCAGGCATTCCGACGGTTGCGGTAAGAGTAGTTGGGAGGTCAGTGACATTGGTACGATACTCGAGAACAGACTGATCTAGAATGGAGCACTGAAAGAATTTTCACAAGGACAATTTCAAGGATTATGATACCAAGTGACACAAATCTTACTAATATAGCATAGATATGATTTTTTCATAGTTCCATAACCGACATCAAGGGACCCGTCACCGATAGCTAACAAGGTTGCCCTTACCAGCAGCATGCTAGCCTGGATGCCAGACTGTTTCCAGGGCCAATACACAGGCCAGCCCCGGTTAGACTCTGAGACGCTTAATTTCAGAGGGTCTGTGGTAAAATTTCCTTGGGGCATGTTGGTCCTGGAACCGGGGAGCTGGCCTGTAGACTTGCCCTGTCTACAGTCTGGCACCCAGGCTAGCAGCATGCATACCAGGCCCTACCAGCAGGATGCTAGCCTGCAGCCGAGGAACTGGCCTGTCTGAGCCCTGGAAAAAGTCTGGTACCCAGGCTAGCCTGTTAGAAATCTTAGAAAGACGAGGTCCGATTCTTGACAGTAAAACTGCCTTCTTGTAAATTCGAGCTGACGCGGCAGGACAGCAAAACGACGCGGCGGCATGGAAAGAATTAAGCCCTGCCTAAACAGTCGCCGTGTTCCTGATTCAAATTGTCACCGTTCATCCGCATACCTGGTCTAACACAAACACAACAGGTGTGGGGTAGCCTGGTGTCCAGCCGACCGTGGTTGGGGCGGGTTTTCTTCGGGGCTGCTGCAGGAGCTCTTCCCCGCCCGACTCAGCTAGGTTCCCTCGGTAGGTTTTTCACGACGGGCTAATCAATCTCCCATCGTAAAACAAACTACCGGGGGAACCTAGCTGAGTCAGGCGGGGAAGAGCTCCTGAAGCCCCGAAGAGAACCCGCCCCAACCACGATCGACTGGATGGACACCAGGCTTGTGTGAGGGAGGGAAGACCCAAAGTACACCCTCACAGGGGAGGCAAGGAAAGGAAGCAATTAGCACAGAACGCTACACGTACAAACAAATTCATCTTCATCTTTGTCACTGTCAAACGCACTTGGATATTTTCCCAATTATTTGATATCGCTGTCGTGTAGAGGTGTGTTGTTGAACGACGTACGAGCCCCTGGGAGATGGCACCTTCCGTTATCTTATAGATAATACGGTGAAGATGAACCGCAGGTGGACAGGTGATGAGCAGGAGACATTCTTGGGAAAGTGTGGAGGGAGCAGGCGAGACGGATGGGATCGGAAGTGCGGGGAAAGGTGGTGACACGTACGGGGGAATGTGCGTTCGGCCGTCGCGGCGGCCTGAAACGAATTAGCCGCGGTGGCGCGACCTGTCACACGGTCCCCGTAACACGGGGCCAAAAGGTCGGCTGGTAATCACTGCAGCCGCGTGCTCGGCGTTTAGAAAGTGTTTTCTTTGCTAAAAATTAGTAGTACGTAAGGTTCAGTGAGATATCAAGATAGATAGAGAGAGAGGGAGGGAGGGAGAGAGATAGAGAGAGAGAGAGAGAGAGAGAGAGAGAGAGAGAGAGAGTCTACAGAAGGAAGAGAGATCGCTATTTAAGACATCCAACGTCCAATGCAATTTCAGGGCGACAAAGTCTTCTGCAGTTCTGGATGAGGAAATCTTCCTGATATTTACTGCCATTTCAATGCATCATTTCATACTTGAAGCATTTGAAATAGCCCCAAAACAAGCTACATGAGAGTTCCCTTATTTTTGGTGCCACCAATAAATAGCTAGAACAATGAATAGCGACGGTAAATACCGTGTAAATAGACACTTACAGTAGTATGAAACAAAAGTGTCGATCGTGAGGATGAAAATCTGCATATCTCGAGGACTCTGACCACTGGCCATTTGCCGATCGAGAGAAAACCGTTTATTGTCCATCACTAGAACCGTTA